GTGACACGACTACCTGCGATCGCTCGGCGTTCTCGGCGCGTCCGGACCGATAAAATCTGCCTCTCGCATACGTTATGCGCTGCCCGCGTTGGCCGTGCGCGGTGGAGGCCATTTCGCCGACGGGATGTCGCTGCTTTCCCAGATGAATATCGGGGGCCTCGGCTTCCACCCTGCCCAGACTAGAGTGTAGCCAGCACTAAAAGGGGGATTCCGCGCTGCATGTTATATCTTCAACGGCAGTATTTCAAGGAACCGTTTTTATTTTGTTTTTCTGGCTGCCTAAAATGAGAGATTCAAGCTTTTTTACTGCGTGAAAAAGGGGCCTTCTAATGACTTTCGAACCGGTTTGAAATTTGCTATGAAACGGACCTCATCGAACGTAAAAACATGAAGGAAACGTGTTTTTTTTTTTTTTTTTTTTGGGGGGGGGGGGGGGGGGATTCAAATATTTCTGGGAGGCATGAATTTAAAATTTAGAATAAAAAATAGCAAAAATATTTGCTCCGTGACATAGTTGGAAGAATGTGATTATTTGAGGGTTCGAGCTAAGCGGCTGGACAATTAGGCTCATGGCGCCCAGGACGGAGGCCTCGTCGGTCTCGTCGCTAAAGTCCCTTGCATCGTCGTAAGTTGAGGCTCCGAACGACGCGATCGCCGTTACCAATGGACCTGGGCTGTTTATGCTCCGACGTCGGCAAACCCAACAGGCGCCGACGTAGAAATCCGATGTTAATGCAATTAATGCGAACGTGCAGCGACCTGGACAAGAATAAGGATGACAATCCCCGGAGGAGGGGAACAAGGGGGTCGCGTCCACTTCGCCGCGCCTCGTCAGAGAACTCAGCGCGGTGGGATTAAAGCAGCGACTCGGGCCAGGAAACTGCAGCGTGACAGATTCGCGAAAAAAAGAAGCAATTGTGGTGTATAACAAGTGCAAATACGCATTTATTTTCTGCGAAATCTCACAAAAATTCGCGGATAAAAAAAGAAAAAAAATATATATATATATGTGTGTATATATATATATATATATATGTGTGTATATATATATGTGTATATATATATATATATATATATATATATACATATACACACACACAACGGGCATGGTGGCGGGAGGCCGAAGGCGTGGGTATAAAACTAAGAAGAAAAAACCCTTAGTGAAAACAGCAACAACGGACGATTTAATCTTCGACGTTTCGGCCGGAGTCCGGCCTTCGTCAGGAAGACGAAGGCCGGACTGACGAAGGCCGGATTCCGGCCGACACGTCGAAGATTAAATCGTCCGTTGTTGCTGTTTTCACTAAGGGTTTTTTCTTCTATATATATATATATATATATATATATATATATATATATATATATATATATATATATATATATACCACAATGTCGCCTCTGTTTAAGCATCCGCCGGCAGGCTTGGGAAGATTTGACGCACCACCGTTTCGCAGCAGCCGTCCACGTTCACTTACGGACAACATCGAAGGGAGAGGATGATCCCTAAACCACACCGTTGACGCGTTCGAAATTGTCGCGAACTCGGAATAGACATTCCGGGCTTCAACTTTGTTTTTATTGCATACCTCATTTGACATTTGTTGTTTCGAGCGGGAACGACTGCCGGCGAGATGCGACTAGCGCGATCATACGAAAGTCATAACCAAGGCGACGAAACTCTGGTTTGTCATCGAGCTTCAAGCTTTGGCTGGGGAGGCACTCACTTGATCGAATGACGTTTTAGCGAACGCCCACGTTTGACCGAATGACACTTTAGATTTTTCGGCGTATAGCCACAAACTTTTATTCAGGCGAAAAAGAAGTCGGCCCGTAGCAGACGACGAGTAGCCTCAGCAGTGCTCTTCTCCGACCAGTCTCCGACAGCGTTGCTCAAAAATGGCGGTCGTCTCCTCACTGCTCCCTTCTTTCTCTCTCGCTCCTTCGGCGCTCTCCTCCCTTTCATTTACTTTTCTCCTCTCCGGCGCCTTCGTCGCCACACCCACTGGCCAAACTCGGGCCAAATGGGTTCACATTTTTTGTAATGAGCCGCCGCAGACTGTCGGCCGGCGAAGCGGCGTAAAGCGCAGCGCGGCGGATGGGTTAACGCGCGCCCCCGTTATTCGCTAAAACGTCCATTCGCTCAAATGTCGCTGTTCGCTAAAATGTCATTCGCTCATGTGATATGGACCCCCTAACCGAGCGCACGGACGTTGTGCACACCACCGCACCAACACGGAGGCAGCAGACTGAACGGCGAGTATACATCACACGACACGCGGCAGATTCGCATCGCAGAAATAAGCGTCGCGCACACGTTCCGGTTAGCCCGTCGCACCGATTTCCGATGGGGCGCGATGGGCAGCGCTCAATCTGCTCACTGCGATAGCCGCTCTTGTGTGGCGGCTTGTTTGGCTGGTTCCGCCGCTGCAGGAGGCAAGAGTTTCTTTTTTTTTTCCCCTTTGTTTTCGCAGACTTTAGATAAATTTTTCTCTATTTTCCATCTTTCTCCCTCAATAAAAACGCTTTCTCGAAAGGATAGGAACCTTTAGCAAACCGTTACCGTGTTCCGCGTACCGCACCCCCGGAGCCTTTGAAGCATGCTTTGAAGCCCGCGGTCTCGGTATCACCCGGGCGCGCGTTCAAAAGCATGCTGCCAAGGCTGCCGTAGTCCGGTACGCGGAACACGGGAACGGTGTGCTAAAAGCCCCTAATAACGACTGCTTACTGAGCAATACACGTTGTTTAACCGGCATAAAAAAAAAAACAAAAAAAAACCTTTGACGGTTTTTGCCAACTGATGAAAAAATGTTACCGGCGATGTCACTGGTCGCGCGTTTCCAACACACTGTGCCGGCACCAGCCGTTGAGTTGTTTTTGTCCGATCGAATGAAATTATGATGCGCTAATTTTTCGTGGCTGCTGCAACAGAAATAGGTCGGAAGCTCAAATGTATTTAGAGGGCCCCCGCTGCTGTGGCGTATACGAACTTTTTTTTTTTTTTAAGGTAACATTTTTTAGTAAAATTACGGTCAGTGCGCGAGCGAGCTGGTGGAAGTTTATCATGATGATATTACCCCAGACTGGGGCAGAAGGATTTTTTTTTTTTACAGTGGAAGAGAAAGTAACAGGGACAGACGGTGTCTCTAGATGCTCTCTGTCCTTGTTACTTTCTCTTACACTAAAAGAAAAAAAAAATCTTGGAGACATTTTAAGCTTTGCCTTTGGGAGTGGAACGCGATAGCGTTATTGGGCCCCGTTCGGAAAGCCTTCTCATATAAAGGCGTGCTCGTTGGCAGGCCGTGCAAGCGTGTGTGTGTGGTCGAGTCCGTATCTAGTCCGTAGCGTCACGTGTCACGTGACGTCGTACGTGGCTGTGACGTCATGAGCCTGTCGACCCGCTAAATTTTCCACAAAAAGTTTTCGCTAAATCTTGCGGGAAAATTCGCCGCTATATTTGGCGGGAAAATTCGCCGCTATATTTGGCGGGAAAACTTTTTTGCTAACTTTGGCGGACAAATATTTTGCCAAATTTAGCGGGTAATTCCCGTAATGCAACGCGCGCAGCCACGTGTGACGCACATGGCTGCGCGCGTTACATTATGGGATTTTTTGGTCCCATGGACGCCGGAGCCAACGCCGATGCCGGGTTTTCTTCGACACGAGCACCTAAACGCTATCGCGTTAAAAATTTCCTTCTTCTGCCCCAGACTTGAGTTAAAATCACAGTGAAAAGTTTCTTAGTAAATATTTTTTTATTTTTTTTTAGTTTAACAGGCTTTGTCACCTGTTAAACTCTGCCCCTGTCGGTGGTAAACAGCGCTCCTAGTGCTCCGACGTTTTTGCTTGGACACGGAGGGAGCTAAGGCGAAGAAAGCAGCCAGAGTGCAAAGCTGCCCCAGTAGGTTCCTCCGTGCCTTAAGGTTATCCGATTCTCATCGGAATTCGCATTGCGCACGCCTGCAAGCCGCCACACTTCGAAGGCCCTCAGGATGGAGCGCAGAGGACCCCAAGCCAGTCGAATGTGGCGAGTAGTTCCGTGAAACGTAAGGAGCGCTGAAAGGGATTGGGGGCGCTAGACCCCGCTGGGGCGCCGGACGCTATGCTGAGGTACCAGACTGGCAACAGTGGACGCGCAGCTAAGACTGGACCGATCTAGGCGCAGCAAGGTGGCAGCGCCCAGAGGCCGTACTTTCGGACGTGCATAGACGTTTGTAAGTTGATCGGTGGGCGCCGCTGTCTTGCTGCTGACGTACACGCGGGCTGTCCCCTCGAAAATTCCAGCGTTATTTGCATCGCAATACTAAACTTGGCATCACCGCAAACTCTCATTCTTCACCCAAATGTAGCGCTTAGCGATACGAACCACATGCCAAACTTTCAGAACCAACCGTTACCAATTATTTTAATTTATGAGGGATTTTCTGAAAATTTGATGGGAAAATGAGCCCTGTTTTTGGTAACTCGCCATTCAAATTCATGTATTGAACTCCATCGGCCGCAGTTTTCCCATTAAGATTTCCGGAAAATTACTATTAACTTTTCAGTAAGACAACGGTTAGTTCTGAAACATTGGTATCTGTTTCAGACCGCTAGCATACACTGTATACATTCGGGCGGAGAATGAGCGTTCAGCGATGCGTACAATTCACTTTTTGCGATGAAAAAAAAAAAAGAAAAACGTGAATCGTTTTGGAACGTTCTGTAGATCGTCTGATAGTCAAGGCTGGCGAAGGCATGCCCACGGTGGCCATACTAGCTTTTGAAGCGTGGTCGCTTGCAAACTTCCATGGGCTTGGGGCGTACTCGAAAGTATGCTCTGTCTCACTGAGGAAGAAAGGTTTTGTACCTTGGCGTTGGAAAACTTGCTAGCGTCCAGCGCTCTTCTACCTTCACGTGATATGACCCGCGGCACTAACTAAGATCTACTCCAGTAAGATACGACTAGCCTGTGGCGGCATATGCCTGAGCGTGGTCTCCAGCATTGCGTGTCTCTGTCGCAGCTGCCCGAGGGCGGCCAGCTGAGCGTGGCCGAGCTGCGCGACGTGGCTGCCCGCCAGCAGCAGCAGATCGAGGCCCAGCAGCAGCTGCTCGTGGCCAAGGAGCAGCGGCTCAAGTTCCTCAAGCAGCAGCACCAGCGGCAGCTCCAGCAGGGACAACAGCAAGGCCATGAGCCCGAGCAGAGGCTACGCGCCCTGCGTGACCGCGTCCAGATGCAAGAACTCAAGCTGCGCAGGCTCAGGCAGCTCAGGGGCCAGGTGGACCAGCAGCACGCCAACAACGCCAACCTCAGTGAGTCCTTAGTCCACTCTTCGGACAGCTTGGAAAGCATTCTTGCCAATTATCTGAAATCGCAGGGAGCGCGTCCTCCAAGCAGTCCGTCACAAAGCAAAATGATAACGCCCGAGCTTCCGTATTCAAGCTCGGGCCATTTTCGAATCGCATCGCCACACCCGCACTGCCCACCAAAAGGCCTTTATTTCCAACTACTCACTAACAATAACTAATCACAGCAATAACTAATCACAGCGCAGCAACCCGGCACGAAGTGCTGGCTGATCGCGCTGTTTTCTTTTTGAAAGAAGCGTCTATACTCCTCGTCGCGAACCTACCGAGGTTTGGGTTTGACCAGGTTGGAAGTTCGACGTTTGTGGGCATGCGCGATAATTGAAAAGGAGCCAACGCTGGGGGGAGATAACATCATGCACGCAAGTTCAGATTTTTTTTTTTTAATGTTTTATGGTACTTTTTAACATGTGTAGGTTCGGAACGTAATCAAAAAAAGATTTAACAAAAAACATATCTGAAAAAAAAAATGAGTGCGCTAAAATGGCATGTTTGATGTTTGAAGTTTTCGTTTATATCATGTTTTATGACACCTACTACGCAAACTACGGATATAAGAAATCTAATATATTTGACACGTATAATAGAATATAGGAACTATTGATTTGAAGATGTGCATCATTTTGGAGGTTATTCACTTCGCGTCAAAAATGCGCAAACATGACTTCATTGACGTTTTGTCACTAGATTTCTGCGCCGCTATCTGAACAAATTGAATAGCTACATGAAAGGGACACTGACGCCCTCCAAAGTTTTTGTTTTATTCTTTGACAGGCGATTGATTATGGTGTGAGAAAACTACCCAATCAATATGTTGCTACAGCATCACGTTTATATTTAATACAGTAAAAAAAAAAAAAAAGCGCAACTTTTCGGAACCGACACTAAAACTGTACTAGGGAGGAAGAATAAATATAGAAGAGGAGAAAGATACCAGGAAATCATGTGGCTGTGCAACTTTTTTTTTTCTTCTTCTTCAATTGACGTATTTGCAGCTTTTCAGAAGCCGCAAAAAATGGGTATCATATTTCTTTTCTATTTTTAATATTGAGTGTGTGTGCCTTCGATGACCCACGACTCTGATTTTATTTGGTGGTTGTGTCTAAACCATAGAAAACGGCACGTGATCACAGAGAAGACAGTGAGCGCAAATTGAACTGGCCAGTTCTCTATCGGCGGTTTTCAGGCGCAAAGAAAACGAATTTCGAGCCGCAAATTCTGTTCTGGGTAGTTAGGCTCTTATGTGTCACGTACAAATAAAAAAACTTGACGAGCATAGATACCCTATCAGTGTTCCTTTAAAACTTATGTCATATTTTCTGATTAAAACATTCTTGCGAATGGTATATAGATAATTTCTTTATCTCAAAAATGGTTTATGTCGCTCCAAACTTGTCATAAAGTATGAACTTAAAAAACTTCAGATTGCAATTAAAAAAAAAAAAAACACATCTTCGATGTTTTTAAAATATGTAGTGAGTTATTTACGATACTCTTAGTCTTGTGTCAAACATGTTGCATCATTTTGTTTCCTTCAAAGTTACAGCGCTGCAAAGTCCACCTTCCACGCCGGCCTTTTTGCCCAGTGCCACAGACGAGATTATCTTTTGATTATGTGCATTTTATGACTAGATATATTTGTTGTGCTGTACTCAGGTATTGGGCTCAAGTTCAAGTATTCTCCCAAGCCGCACAGAGGTTGCCAACCATTGGCGATGGTCCTTTGGCCAGTGGCCAGGCAGTGGCCAGCCATTGGCTAATGACTGGCCTTTCTCTGGCCATTGGCCAATGGCCAGAGAAAGGCCAATGGCCACCGGCCATCAGCGCATTGGCCGATGAACGGCCACTTTTTGGCCATTGACCAAAAGACCATCGCCAGTCATTGGCCGATGAATGGTCACTCCTTGGCCATTGGCCAAAAGACCATCGCCAGTTATTGGCCGATGCTTAGCCAAAATCCCTGCTGCTTGGGTAGCTACTAATTAAAAAAATACCTGGGTCGCCTTTCCTTTTTATTAATTTAAACAATAACTCTTTTTTGCCCTTTAAAATTACAAGTTCTAGGAGCTTTAACTGAACATTTTCCATAAACGCGGGACGAAAGCAAATAATCACTGCTACATTTTTTTAAACTTTTTTTTACAGAAAGTAGTAGAAAAGTAAGTACAGCGGTGGCAAATTATATGCAAATATAAGCCCAAGCTTGTTACACTGCTATTCATGACGGTTGTACGTCCGGCTGACCAAGGTAAACAGTTCCAGACTTCCAGTAAGACGTCCGTTAAGATTAAAAACATTTGTAATTATTCATTTTATATAAAATTAAAAACAAATGAAAAAAAATGTGAGTAAAGATATTGAGCACACTAGTTGCCCACGTTGGCAAGAGGGCGTCTTTTGTCCCTCAGAGCCGCACTTAGAGAGCGTTTGGTCAATGGGAGGAGCGGGCAGAGCCAGGGCGTACACGAGACGCAGATAGAAGGCTTGGCATTCTCTCTTGGTTAACCAGGAGCCAAAAATCATGCCGTAGCAGTGGTAGAGAGAAACACTTTTCATAAGTGCGTTAGAGTTAAATGGAGTAACTCTTTGTGGCTGGAAATATAGTGTACGTGATGTTTTGGTTATGATCATGCAAAAAGATGTAAGAATGGAATGTGTCGTTCGAACTCTGTTTTGCTCGGACGTAGTCTGACCGCTCGGATGGCATATTCCCGGCCCTCGGCGCCTGGCGTGCGGATGACGTTGCGTGCAGTACATGCGAAGGCAACGCCAGGCAAGGGGAGAAAGGGCAAGCACTAAGAAGGCTGGAGAGAAGAGAAACCTCCTCTCCTCTCTAGTGTTCCTAGTGCTCTCCCTTTCTCCCCTCGCCTTCAATTGCCCGCCTCGCCTATCCTGCCTTCCTAGTGCTCGTCCTTTCTCTCATCGCCTGGCGTTGCCTTCGCCTGCGCTGCACACAACTAGTGACACGGAGTATAGATTTTGATTTTACATGACCGTAATCGAAAAGGCACGTGCACCATATTTTCAGTCATCAAAAGTTACTCGACGCGCTTAGTATTCATTTTTTTTTTTTTTTTTTTGTTCGCGACCACTGCAAGGATATTATTCACGGCTTCTAGCTGGTCACATTCGAATCTGTGAAGACGCTCTGGAACACGCCCAGCTCGCTTTCGGCCAATGGCGCCTCTTCATTCGCCTCCTTTACTTCGCAAGGAATGGCCAAACTCTTTCAATTTACGACTCTGTTATCCCTCTTTAAATCAAACTGACGAATTCCGCGAAGCACTCACCTGTGCTGCAATAACTCTAACGAGTGCGAGACGATTAGTCAACTCCGAGTGTGGCTACAAATAGGGAATACACAAACTGGAGGATTTTGCCCGATCCTCTTCGGAGAATTGACAATTAATTGCATTATCATTGTATCTTACACACTGCGAAGATTTCTCTGCTTTGCTATCTTCTTTTTGTGTTTGCTAGGATACCACAGGATGCACTACAAGCGCTGTAAGTCGCTGCCATGGCTGAATTCATTCTGTCAAGACGCAACTACACGTGACTGGTAACCACTTTGTTAATGACCGCAGCGCGCTTGTCTTGTCTCACGATCGCAAGACTACGCGACCTCCCGAAACCGTGACAGGAGAGGGAAAGAAGGAAAGATAATGCTTTATAATCCCTTCTGCGAAGCAACGTAGTTCCTCCGAAGAGAAATGTGCACCAGGAGATAATAGGCGATAATTGCATGCGTGTGCTCTGTGGCTCATGCCGTCTCTGGTTTTTAGTTCACGAGGGGGTTTTAGCTTCACGGGTTGTGGGGTTTGCTTCCTGTTTTAGTCGCCGCCTTTCTGTTTTAGCTCTGATTAGGTATAGATGCCACTAGTATTTGCGCGCTGTTTTTTAGGGCTCGCGGCATTTCGCTTTTGGCGCCGGCGTCGGCTCCTGGGGAGGAATAGTTTTTTGACAAAAGTGTTGCTTAGCGCCTGTGCCGCCTGCGAGTCAAAGCGATATACAGGGTGATTCAAGGAGATGCCAGGCTCTTTAAATCGACCGCAAAATTCGGTTTCTGAAGCTATCGCGCTACGATTTTGTGCAGCGTTGCTCACAGATAGTGCTTTTTTTTTTTTTTTTTTGTAAAATTTGCAAAGAGCTAATTTATTTGAGGAAAAAGTAAAGAAAGAAAAGGCTTAGCTCCTATGAAAACACGGCGAAGCCACCGGTCTTCAAACAACACGGCGCCGTTTCGCACGGGAGGCAAGAGATGGCGCAACGAACGCCGCCGACAAACGAGCATACGGCACCGAGAGCCGGCGTTTTTAGCAGACGATCTTTTCCACTCAAAAGCGGCGCGCGTTTAGAAACAAAAACAGGCGCGGTATCAGCAAGGAACCTCAGTTCCTTGTGTGCTAAAGACGTCGGCTCTTGGCGTCGTATGCTCGTTCCTTGGCGGCAGTTGGCGTCGCGACCACTTGCGCCATCTCTTGTCTCCCGTGCGAAACGGCGCCGTGTTGTTTGAAGACCAGTGGCTGCGCCGTGTTTCCACAGGAGCTAAGCCTTTTTCTTTTTTTTTGCTTTTTCCTCAGGTAAGCTCGCTCTTTGCAAATTTTACAAAAAAAAAAAAAAAAAGCACCATTTGTGGGCAACGCTGCACAAAGTCGTGGCGCGATAGGTTAAGAAACCGAATTTTCCGGTCGATTTAAAGAGCCTGGCGTCTCCTTGAATCACCCTGTAGTACGTCCATCTGCAAACTGCGTGCACGTGGAGACGGTTCCAAGGGATGCCCTTCAAACCTCGTGACACTAAAATTGGTTTCATGGGTGGTCGTGTGGGTCTTTAGACTTAGCAGCGTTGCTTTGCTTTCCGATACGTCGAACGATGCAAGGCGAGAAAACAGCTCCTGCATCGGTAGAACGCCATCCTTTAAATACAGCAACAACGCGATTATCGACTGGTTTGCCGGGATAAATTATGAGGCCAAGTTATGTCTGCTGTTTTAAGAAGAGCTTGCAGCCACGTACCTAAACTAAGACAATTATAGAGACGAAGTTGAACTTGCTCTTGGCTTTCGAGTTCTCCTCCTGGAATGCTGCAGCCGTGAGACAGCGTCCATCCAGTGATTTCCCTACACCCCCCCCCCCCCCCCCCTACGGGAGTGTAAACCCCCCTTGTTTACTCCCATAATCTCAATGCCCCCCCCCCCCCCCCCCCCCCCCCCTAAAAATTTAGACACCCCGCCTGACTTCAATTCCCGGGGAAACCCTTGCGTCAACCAGTTCGGACATTCCCTATTTGCCACATTCACAGTAAAGTTGACATTTGGACTAGTTGGTAGTCTAACATATTAAGGTATTTAGCGCACAAAGTAGAAAGAAGAAGGACAAGACAGAAAAGAGCGCTACTCACAACTACGTTTATGATAAAAAGGGAGGCCTTCTACATCCTTCGGGAGGACAGGAACTGTATTAGCGTTGAATCCGTTACGCTAACAAACAAGGAAAGGAAATTCCTTGAACAAACAATGAAGGGCCCGCACGAGCCTGGATGAACTAGCCGCTATCATTCACGGGGCTGTGGCAGGTGCACGAGTCCGCGGCGGATTATTTAGGTGTTTTCTTTCTCTTCCCTTTTTATCATAAACGTAGTTGTGAGTAGCGCTCTTTTCTGTCTTATCCTTCTTCTTTCTACTTTGTGCGCTAAATACCTTAATATGCCACATTCACAGCTAACCGATTTTCGCGTTCTCGTAGGAATTCGGGCGTGTGGCCTACCTGGTCCTCTCTTATAATTCTTTTTTGCTCTTATGTAATTAAACTAACCATGACTTCTCGGACATAACATAGTGCGTTAAAGTTGCTCCTTGTGGAGCAGGTACAAGGCGAGGGCTCTGATAAGAGACGGAAAAATCGCGCGGGCGCCTTATCGCAACCGCTAGACTGTACCTGCTCCACGAGTTGTAACTTTGGCGCACTACTACGCTTCTCACGCGATCAGTCTTTCTGAAAATGTCTGATTTCGTGGTTTTCGATGACGCTCAGCAAGTTTATAATTGGAACCATATATTTACTTTCACTAATTAAGAAGATAGTCATTTTTCATTAATTAGAGAACAAATTAGTAAGTGTCGCACATTTTCTGACGTCCTCCACCACGAGTAATGCGGTCCCGAAAAATCTATCTTTTTACCCCGAATACACTAATTTTAGGGATTTTTGTGTCGTCACTGAAACACCCGGTGTAGTGCCAGCTGAGCACAAAGGAAGCTTATGCCTTTTCTATATCTCTCTAATCCTTCCTTTATGTTCGGCTGGCACTATATAATATATATATATATATATATATATATATATATATATATATATATATATATATATATATATATGTGTGTGTATATATATATATATGACTAATAAGTAGACTGCATGCCCAGTGCCGAAGACGCTTATATTGGCGATGAACGCTTTCAGCACGAGTACGCTCCATTGTGATCTTCGCGCTACTGGTTCAGAATGACTCTTTCGAAGACTTGGACCGGTGATTGCCATGGGAACTCAGAGAGATAAGTCAATCGCCTTGCAAGGTTTTGTCGTCTCTAGGGTATTTGTGTCCGGCCAGCAGACTCCCAGGATCCAGTGACTTTAGCCGACCCCGGAGGCAGTGCAATACCCGTCTGTCGGCACTTAAGGAGGCGCGAGGCCAGATCACCTCTGAAATGCTACAATATATTTTTTTATTTATCCTGCTGTTGTCATACAATTATGCCCATCGATGAGTTTCGTCTCCGAAGATTAGATGTAACTCGCATTTTGATCTGCACTTGTTCCGATTGCCTGTGTGACTTCTGACTGAATATGCTAGCTTGTGTTGTGTCTTGACATTCGTTTCATCCGGTTTCTTCTGTATCGATTTGTAGTTAAATTTACCTCGTGGTTAAATATTTGTTTTGATCAATTGATTTTGTGACTAGCAAACAAATGCCACCGTGTGTATACACAACCTACCCGTCGTATAAAAAATATTTTCACTGATTGACTTTCAGGCCCATGATATTTTATTTTTATATCTTATATTACCTATATTGGTCAAAAGTCAATGATTTTTGGTAGTTATCTTAGTGTTCAGACACTCTTAGGTTTTAATAATTAAAGTATCAAGGAGACGGGAGGGAAGGGAGAAATGTTATCACATTTAAACACATGAATGGAGAGCATGGGCCAGTTCTCTCATCAATTTCTCAAAGGTCTTGGAAAAGAAAAACATCTGTCGCTTGTCGTTGTTGTCCGTTCCTTTGTCCCTTCCTCATACTTAGCCCTCTGCAATTTGTCAAAAGGGAATGGGTGCAAGTGCCTGGTGCCCTCCCCCCACCCTCCTTAACGAAATTTTGGCAGGGACTGAAGCCCTTGCCTCATATAGTTGGCTCCCATGCTCATTATTTAGTAATACCTGAAGGAAGCAGGACAACCACTTGTCCTGTCTCCTTCTTTTACTTGTCATTTGCACTATTTGCATTTGTTGTGGAATACGCATCAATGAGCATATCCATCTTTCTACATGCCTCTGGGAACGGTCTGCTGAATCCCCTCTGTGTCCCTGTGTGCGCAGGTGCGGAGCTGGACTCGATCCGGGCCTTGTTCAGCGAAAAAGAGAAGGAGTTGTCCGTGGCCGTGGCCAAGGTGGAGGAGCTCACTCGGCAGCTGGAGGACGTGCGCCGCTCCAACCACTTGCAGGGCAGCCGCGCACTGGTCTCCCCGACCAATGCCGCCCACGAGCTTGACAAGCTGCGCAAGGAGCTCATGGTAAGTGCTAACCACATTGCCAGAAAAGAGAGTGCAGCAAGGCCACGAAGGGGGCTTGAATTCCACTTGTGTTTTGCATATTTCCCGGCAGCGGCACTGTGGGGTTCGGTGCTTAGACCGCAGGCGCAGTTACGCGCAGCACAGCCTTCTCATCAGCACTGACCTTGTCGCCTTGTGACCCACCTTGTGGCTTTGAAAACATGTACGCAAATATTGACGGTTCCTCAAGTTCCTGTCACAACAGTGACGACGAGGTTGAATAGGAACATCTCCTGGCATCGAGCTGCGACAGAGCCCACTTAAGGTATGGGTATTGAAACCATTACCATCTTCAAACAGCTTACAGCTCACAGTGAGTTCCCGAAGGTAAAAGGCCCCTCCCCCATATAAAGAAACGCACCTTGCTGCATGTTTTTGTTTTTCAATTTTGACGGGTGTGGATGTGGCCAGCCCAGTCAACAAAATAACGGGGTGCGGCCATATTTTTGTGTATCTTCGTCTTCTGATCTATCTCACCGCATTTATGAGCCTTTGCCAACAAGCGCGTACTACCTCGAGCACCCGTGAGCACCCTGCCCCCCTGCCCTTGTCACAGGAGCTAGAGATTGGAGCTGCCCACGCCCTCTCTGCTGGTCTCACTGGCAGAGGCATTGGGCTTACTGCAAAGCTGGTCCGGCCGACCCAAAACCTCAGACCTGGCTCCTTTCGGTAACCCTCCGTCGACTGGTTCCCCCTCCTCGCGAGAGATGTACTTCCCAATCCAGGACCACGGCCCACTTGTTCCTGCTGTTGCCGGTCGGTCCATGACAATGTGGCCACATTACAGTGCAATGGGTGTGACTTGTGGCTACACCGCAAGTGCGAGCTTCTGGCGCTCCAGGCCTACAGGCGTCTTTCCTAAACGTCAGGCGATTGGTACTGCGGAGTCTGCGCGCTCCCACCCCTGCACCATTATCTCTTCCTGGCCCAGAGCGAGCAACCTGCGGGCCCACCTTTTCAGTCGGCTACAGCGACGCTGGTTGCTTTGGAGTCTTTGTGTTGTAGCTCTCAAGTCGAGGTGTGGTTCTTGAATGTGTGCTCAGTTAAAAAATAAAAGTCCTGGCTTCTAAGCGTTGGTTGCAGTCGAGGTGTGGTTCTTGAACGTGTGCTCAGTTAAAAAATAAAAGTCCTGGCTTCTAAGCGTTGGTTGCAGTGCACCCGACATGGTATTCGGTCTATGTGAGACATGGCTTGACCCTACCATCTATGATGGCCAGCTCTATGACACCACCAGGCACGGGATCCACAGGAAGGACTGTGCATCTTGTAAGGGCGGAGTATTGATCATGGTACCCCGACATCTGCCTTGTTGTCACAAAGTTGATCAGGAGTTTGTAGACTTTGAGGTTGTCTTTGTTGAAGTTGTCCACCGGAAAGGCGAAATGCTACGCTGCTGTCTGTACTGCCCACCTGCCACGCAAACTGCCTCCTACGTTCTTCTAGGCCAATCTCTTACACCTGTCGACATCTTGCCCTACTCCTGTGTCTGCGTTTTTGGAGAAGTTTCAATGCCCACGAGGACTGGTCTGACCTCTCTGCCCCCTTCCCACCTAGTTCACATGACGATGCCCTCCTTTATGCCATGGAAACGTCTGGTTTTAATTTTTAATTGCCCAGGTGTGTGGCGAACTTTCGTACAAGTCCAATTTGAACAAATCTTCCTTCTTTGATCTAGTGTTCATGAGCCCTGTCCTCATCGCAGTCTGTTCAATCGAGACAAGCTTGGCTGGGTCCGACCGCAGTTCTATTAGCTTTTCCAGCCTCATGATGTTACCAAAATCTGGTCACTATGCAAGAATGATATGGAATTTCTGAAAGACTGACTCTTTGCACCTTAACAACCTTCTTCACCTTCCTCCCTGGAATCTGGTCCTTAAAAATCCATCTGCCAATGACGTGTTTGACTTGTGGCTGGACATGATGAACGCCATTGATTGAGACTGTGTTCCCTCAAAGCCTCTATCTCGTCCAGGCACGTAGCCAGGATTTGGTTTTGGGGAGAGGGGCCCGCCCATGTCAAAATGCTGTATGAAGGGGAGGGGGAGAGGAGGTCCCAGAAAAATGGAAGGATTCAGGGGGGGCCCGGGCCCCATGGCCCCCCCCCCCCCCCCCCCGCCCCCTTTTGGCTACGTGCCTGACCTCGTCATTGAAGGCCCCCTTAGATCTCTGCGTACATCGTACATCTCTCCCACAGGAAATGCTGGTTTTTTAAGAAAGCCAAGAAGTCCAATCGTCCGGAAGTTCTTACTGCAGTACAGAAGGTGCAAGGGGCCTAAGGTTTGTGTGCAAAGCTCATAGAGAATACCTACTCGGGGTTGCGGAAAGAGCTGCACATTTTCCCAAACTTTTCTGGGCATATGTTAAAAACCAGCGTCAATCCTCCTCTGTTCCAGTGTTTGAGAGAGATGGGGTTGTCCTCAGTGAGTCCAAGATGATTGCTGAGCTCTTCAGTGGCCATTTTTTCTCTGTTTGGGTACCCGTGTCGATCCGAAGTACCTCTTGTTCCTGGTGAACCCGCCGCTTTGAGTGCCATCCCCTGTACTTCTGTAGAGACTGTAATTCTGTAGTCCAGTACAACAGTGTGACCCACCCAGAACCCAAGGTCCAGACAGCACTCTGCTTGCCACTCCTATCATCACCGAGGTAGACGTGGCAGAGGCACTGCGCCACATTAATGCCTCTCAGGTTTCAGGGACTGATGGCATTCACCCAGCATTTCTACGTGCCTGTGGTAGCAGACTAAGGCCAGTACTCACCATGCTGTTGACAAACTCTCTATTTGCAAGGAAAGTTCAAATGAATGGAAAAGTGCCACAGTGACACCAGTGTACAAGGAGGCCAATAGCCCTTCAGATGTCACCTCATTAGGGAGTTTTAGAATAGCGCACGCTAAAGCTTTGCGTATGCAAAGAATAGCAACGTCGCCACTGCGCATGTGCCGAACGCTAACCACGTTTTGCACTTTGCGTGCACTATTCTAGTGTACGCTATTTCTTGGAAATCGTGTGCATACGCAAAGAGTCTTTGCACTCCTTCAAGGTGGATTCGTAATGAGAAGGTGGCTAAAGCCAAGTCGAGCAGAGTTAAAAAATGGCGGTTCCCAGGACCATGGCTGCGGCCACTTTGGCGGTGTCGTGAGGGCGACGTTGGTAACATCCTTGCGACTGCGATTTTCGATAAGGGACGACATTGCACTCGGTTTGGAAAACCCAGTGAGGTAGGTAACGATCACTGGCAACTTAATGTTTGCGATGTACAAACATTTGCTGGCGATGGTACGATGTGCGAAAGTGAGTAGATGAGACCTCTCTTGCCGAGGCAATGCTGGTGGACATGACCGGTCGACTGCTCGCGTTGCATTTTCATGTTTAAACAAATCTAAAATGTTACTCTGGACCAAAAAAATCTTGTTTTTTCCTTAAGTTACAACATTTAGTGAGAAAAACAAGAACAAGGAGAACCGAAAGACCCCGAATTGTAAGTGTCCTTGCATAAGAAACAGCCAAGTTTCACAGAAAGAAAATCTTTATCGACAGCTTTATCTTCCATTGACCCAAGCCCAATGAATACTTCACATGCCTTCTTCTTTATTTGGAACCACATACCTCATGTCCTCCTCTTATCGGTACGGGGACGTTTTACAAGTATTCGGATCATCAATCAATCACTCAATCGTTTTATTTATGGCCTTTAAGCCAACGAAGACCCTAGACAAAAAGCTGCCAGTGGCAGCTGGACGAGGTCTGGGGCCCGTCTCAAATTTGTCAGCAGGACATCCATTCAGAACACAAAAGGATATTACATCCAAAGGAAAGATACGCAGAGTAATCACTTCATGCATACAACTTCTAACAGCATTATACAAAAAGAAAAACAAAATTCTTAGCAGAATTTGACAGATTGAAAAGATATACAGCTACGTAGAGAAGAAAATTACGCAAAACAACACAAGGCGCACATACGCATAACTTCTAACAGCACTGTACGAAATGCAAAAGTTATACAAAGGTATGGGTATGCCCGAGAAATTTCACAGAGCAATTCACAAGAAATGCATAAGTAATGATTTCCTTCCTTTCCTTCATGCATACTATGCTCCCTGGAGGCTCAAAAATCTCATGTCCTATTTTCTTTAATATAAACCCTGATAAACTCCAATTTTTTCTCCATCAAAATAAGCTGACACCGAAAAAAACCGTATCCACAGGAATAAATAAACACCGAAAATACACCCCCGATTTAGGGGAAGAATGAATCCCCAAAACATGAAACCCTAATTATAAGTACTGTAAACGACTAAATTTTTGCAAAAACCTAATTTTCGCGAATCGCCTACAATTCGTGAAAAATACGTCCCGCAAACAATTCAGGCAATATGTGATCGCTACTGAAGCTACACTCGATTCGCGAAAATTAGAACCCGCGAATAATTTCAAATTTTCCGCTTTGGCCTGATTTGCAAAAATTTGAGCCCGCGAAAATTAAATCATTTACAGTAATTGTGTATAATTATTTATTGTATTAAGACTAATATAATGCCAGCTGAACATGAAGGATGCGAATTAGAGGGAGATAGAAAATGTATATGTACCTCTGGTTAGAGAACTGGCTAGCATACACACCACTGAGAACTAGAAATATAACTTGTGACGGCTTGAAGCTGGGCTAGTTTGTTCATTGCTTTTCTATCCCTCTCAAATCCTTCCTTTCATGCTCAGCTTGCACTATATATAATGAACCAACTAGCTCAGGTTCAAGCCATCACAATATATTAAGACTCGTGTATTCATTGTCTGTCATGACCACTGTCAGTCAGCTGAAAGAAACAAAATGAACTCTCCAGAAGAGAATCAATATCAGTTTCTGTCTCCTAGCAACAGTGACATTGAGAGCGAGACACGATTTATTGCAAAAATTGTCAGGGAATGCAAGGTGGAGTAGAGGCCTTCGGAAGCGCGACGACAGCAGACGCTTTGCCTCTGTGCAGAACCTGCTTTCCATTCAGGTTCACAGAGCTTCTGCTCGGGAATCTGTCACTTTTATCTGTCCCATATCGTTGGTTTCGTACACGAGGCTTGTTCTCAGACTCCTACAAATCGTGTACTGTGGCTACTTGCTTCTTTTATATGTCTGTTCTGCCTCTGCCTGTTGCTCAAATACACTTTGACCAGCCATCATTTGGGATGATTAAAAGTGCTAAAAAGTCGAGGACCAGTAAAAGAAGACACACACACACACCTAGAGTTTGATCTGAATTAACCAAACGAAAAAACATATATGCTTTATCAACAAAACAGTCATGTCATGTATGCTCATCGTCCTACTAATCTCCATTTATTCTGACTAGCTTGGCCTATAAAAGGACTGTAAATATGCCACTTCTGAATCATAGAGAGCAATCGATGGGGTGCTAACGCATGTATAGTGACCGCACTTCTCTATAAATATGCTTCTGAAATTTCCCTTGTCACTTTATCTCGGTTCGGGCTCAAGATAATTGTTTCCTGAAACTTTGGGACTCAATCGCATCTATTGCAGTGCACTGCCAAATTACCCACGGGTGACGATCTCATTGCCAGTGCGTGCTCTCTTAGTCTATCATTTACGCAAAGTCGGGAGTGTCCTATGTAAACCTTCCCACAAGTCAAGGTATTCTATATACCACCCCTTCCTTGCACTCTACAAATCTAGTCACATGCCTCATCTTACGGACACCCACCCCCAGATCTCCCCGCACCACTCTTGCACGCAATTTACCCAATTTCTGAGGCGCTGTGAGTAGTACCAGAACCCTGTGTTTTCCTCCCACTTTCTTTAGACTATGGCTTATTTTGTGTATATAAAGTATCACGGCCGGTCTAACAATATTTCTGGGCTTATTACCACTTTTTCTCCCTCCCCGAAGTTCTCACAATAATCTTTCTGCCACACCTCTGATGAGCGTAGGTGGATACCCATCGTCCTTTAATTTCTTCACTTGCCTTCCAAAGCTGTCCACTACAGTACGGGAACAAGATTTAGTTAACAATGTTAGATGCGGCAGTGCTACAGAGTTGAAGGTTTTCATTGAGACACTGAGCAACGATTGCCTACAATTTTTGGATCTCCATCTTAAGAACCCTTCCAGTTTGTGCTGGCAGTACGGAAAACCAACATCGAAATCGTCGTTGCCATTTAATAGCTGCCATTGAAAAAATGTTAAGGCCGGCATTATTTGGAATTTTGTCAGTAGCGCTCTCAAAAAGTCCTGCCCTCATTCGATTTTGTTTTCTTTCCAACACCCCTTTGGCCGTTTCGGAGTGGCTGGCTACCCTAATGATTAGGTTTTCAAGCAGTCGTTGTTCCTCATTTCAAGAAAAGACGCGAGGATACTGTCAAACCTACAAAGCACGTGGTGCACCCCTTCTGCCATTGAATTTTGCACATTCTTAAGTCCGCTGCTAACAAGTACGGTGTGAACACGGTGCTCAAAAATTGTTTCAAGTTGTGCCGAATTACTCCGTTTGTGTCTCCCACGACTGATTGTTCAAAAAAAAAAAAGAAAGAAAAAGAAGTGTTGTGTGTTGGGAGTAATCTACAAGGTTGATTCATTTTATTTATTTTATTTTCCTCAAAGGCCCCCAGAAGAGGGGGTATTACATGAGGGGCGGGCATTACACAGCAAACATTCCCAAAACCTATGGACAGAATACAAAAAGAGAACATCTATATCAAGAAAGACAGGGAGAGAACACAATTCCATGAACTAAAAAACCACTGAAAAGAAAGAAAAAAAAAGTTTTTTTTAAAAAAGTTTGGTTGGGACGCGCGTGTCAAAAAATAAAATTTACGCGATCATAAATAATTTTTTAGACTAATAGTGACTGCGCGAGACGCGATTTAGTTGGTGGTCACGTCTTTTCCACTTGTTTTCTCTATCGGCATTTCGGGTGCGTGGAGGAGAGGTGGATCGGCTTGGCCATCATGTTGAGGTGGAAAGAGTGTATGATAATTTCGCGACGTCATGGACTTTCCTTGCAGAATTTAAAATAAACCTTGCGCCGTCAATATTGCTCTGTATAATTTATTTTTTGACATGCGTGCCCCAACAACCGTTTAAAAATTTTCTTTTTTTTTTTCAGTGGCTTTTTAAATTTATTATTATGAAACTATGAGTGATTCATTGCTGTAAGAGCTTCTTTGGATTTATCCAGGTTCCTAAGCTGTACTATATTTTCAGGAAGGTCGTTCCAATCTTTGGCTGTTTTAATAGAAAAGGAATTTGCAAATTGATCAGTGTTTGGGCCAGGGTATAACATTTGTTGTTGATGCGATCTGAAAAATGTGAATGAAGCGTGATGTAAGTGTTTGGTGACAATGTGTTATAATATCGATGAAACAGTGACAGTCTGGCAACTCTTTGACAGTGACTTAGCAAAGACAGAGCTGTGTGTTTCTTTAGTTGGGTACGCTGGTGAAGGACAAATAGTCGGAGTATATGAATCTTACAGCACAGTCGTTGATGCACTGTTGTTGATGCACCATTGTTGATGCACTGTTGTTGGGGAGGCACGGTTAAGCATTCGTGTCCAGGGGTTTCCCCAGGAATTGAAATTAGGGTGGGGGGGACGTGTCTAAAGTTTTAGGGGGGGGGGGGGTACATTGAGAATAGAGGAGTCGTTGCAAATTAAGGGGGTGCCTTTAAAAACACAACCCCCTACACCTTCCTAAGGGGTGTGTAGGGAAATCAATGTTTGCGTCCCACTGGGGTCTTGGCAGGTGCGTGCCCAGCTGACGGAACAGCAGTCTGTGCGCATAGCGCAGCAGCGAGAGGCTCTCAGCCGCCGCCAGGGGGAGGTGGCGGACATGGACCGGCGCATCGGGGAGTTGCAGCAGCGCCTGCTCAAGAAGCGCCTGCACAACCAGGCGCTGCAGGCCCCGCCCCCGAGGCCCCCCCCCACCCAGGGCCCCCCCCGGGCCCCCCCCACTCCGCAGGGGCCCTAACGTGGCCGCTGTGGAGCCCCTGCAGAGGGGGCCGCCTCCCAGCAAGAAGGACCCCAAGTACCAGACCCTGCCCTACAACACCAAGTTCTGCCTCAAGCCCCGGCCAGAGGTGGGGATCTTGTGTGCCAGACTTAGATTTCAGTGTTCTCAAATGCTCAATCGGGGTAACGTAGTAATTGGGGTAGCGAGGACGTGGCGAAAGCATCTGTTGGGGTCTTTGCCTTTCTGCTCGCTTTCCACCTTGCCATGTGATAAAGCGATGGGACCAATCGGCGCAACAGGCGCCTGCCATTAAATTGGCAACGCTCTTAAGGTTTGATTTGTTCCCTCTGTTAAATATAAGCTCTCTATGGGGACCCCGCAGCTTAGACCCACTAAATAGGCGACGCATCAAAGTAACACTTGGACCATGTTGGCACTTCAAATATGGTCTTTTATCCCGAGATCTGAAATCTCGGGAAATGCTAAGACGCGAGACGGAGCAAAACGATGACGCCCCGGCTTTGTAACACTGTGTTTGAAACTGGGGAAAACTAATTTTTCGGTAGTCACTGTTGCCGAATTGCGCTCGCTCTCCACTAGACAACAAAAAGGTGGTGCAAACGAGACGTTTGGGGAAGGGAGCGATACTTTTAAGTTTAGCTTCTTTAGTGGCTGTTGCTTGAGCGACCTTCAGGGCTCGTTGTCTGGGTGTTTTGAATCGAGGGGCTAACCGTAAAACCGGCCGGTAAAATCGACCCCATGGTAACTGAAACGCGTCTCCAACTGCTTCGTTTACTGCGTCCTCATTTTCCTCTTCCTCTTCCTGGCGACGTCCCACTTGTGTCACGCGTGCGACAATCCCGCTGGCGGCACAGCGGGGGAGGCAGGGACGGGGGCTGCAGGTCACCTTTTAGCTCGATGATTTCTGGGAGCTTCACTAGCCAAAGAGTTGGGACTGTGCCACAAGAGGGACGCTTGCATTCATTCGTCTTATTTCCTAAAACTACAGCTTGCCCCCCCCCCCCCCCCCCCCCCAGCCCCCAAAATATTTGCGGTGTTTCTTTGCGTGCAAAAATAAACTATGCATTGCCAAATGGTCATCATGAGGGCGTATAAAAATTGTAAATTAAATTTTAACTCCCAGTTTTCAATGCATTTTGTTCTTCACCGGTAATTTCTATATTTCTGTTTGTTTCAATACTTGCATCGCAGCGCCTTTTGGAATTACAGTGGGGGGATGCAGATGCACAAGTAAAAAAAGCTAAATGAATGGGTAATCATCGTCAACAACCTGTGATTAAAGCACCAAGTAGATACGATAAAATGCATCATATTTTGCAACTCTCGAAGCATTTTTTAACATTTTGCGGCATTCAAAGCAGCTCAACACATTTCGCAATATTCTAAGCATTCCTCACCTTCGTGACATACAAAACATATCTAACGATACACGAAATCCTATCTCTGGGAGTATAACAAGGTCTACAGCTGCAATGCACGAATATAATTACAATCTACCGCGTTAGTAAGACTTCTGACTGGGATTTATTTTTTTACGCTGTCATATAAGTCAAATAAACCTACTGTTTCCAAAGCAGTATAAAAGGCCTCATTTGACAAAACTAAGACAACAGCAGGGGGTAATCTGTTCCATTAACTAACTGTTTACGGAAAAATGAACCTTTAAAAGCTGCAGTCTTACACCCATACTCACGCTCTTTATGAATATGATCCACATGCGTGGATAGGTAATATGGAGAAAACAGGTAGGTTTCACGTGCGATGCCACTCTGGAAGTGAAACACACTGTGGAAAAACTTCAAACGAAATCTTGCTCTGGGGCATTTCAGTGTACTCCATTTCAACGTTTGCCTCGAGTGCGTCACCACTAAACTCTCTACTTTTTACCGATTTTCCTCAAACATACTTAGCTGCTAGATTTCGAACTTTTTCTCATTTATTTTTATCTATACTAGTTTTGGGGTCCCCCACAGTGCAGGCATATTCTAGAATAGGTATCACGTTTGTTTTATATAATTGTTCTTGCGTAACCTGCGGAAAGTTATGAGTGTTTCGATGTAGGAAACCCCAAAATTTCAAAGCTTTTGCTACGGAATAGGGTGTTTTCACTGATGTAATTTTGTCCACCATGTTGTTGTTGCGAGTTCTCTGGTGCGCGCCGAAGGCGAGCATTCCGAGGATTTAGGTGACCCCCTCAAATGCGGAAAGCACAGAAGCTTATGAGTCTTACCATGCTGACATCTCCTCAACAGGTTGCAGCGTAATCCTCCAAATTAGTAAATTTGTTGGAAAAATAAACAACAAAACGGTGGATTGACGTCATGTAAAAACACCTTATAATCTACATCTGATGGCAACACAACGAGGATGTGATGTAAACACCCAAAATAATTATATTCTGAAACTATTTTAATTGTGTTGTTGATTTTACAAAAAAGAACTGGTACTTGGTTGTTGTATAGAGAAAGACATGCACACGGTTTTATCTATATTCAATTTCAGTCGCCAATTTCTGCACCTTATGTCTATTTTGTCTAGATCCTTTTGAATGATGAAGTTGGCACTATCGTTACTTCTCTATATAATATGCAATCTTTCGCAAACATTCTCGTGCATGAAGTAACTGATTCATCAACATCACTTACATCGGCGAATTAAAAATAATAAAGGTCCTAAAACCGACCCCCACAGGACTCCTGACATTCACTTGTCGAATTTCCTACGACGTACCGGTATCTTTCGTGTAAATATTCGGAAACCCAAGAGATAACTTGATAACTTTACAATTAATATTAAAATATGATTCTAGCAATAACTTACGAGGTGCCACGTCAGTCTAAGAAAACACAGTCGACAGTTTTGCAGTTATCCTTCACCGCTTTTGGCATCCGTACGAAACAAATCGCTAAAATACTTAGATTTTCTAGAAATAAATGAACACCAAAAAAGATCTGGCTTTTTTTCTTATCGATAAACGTCGGAAAATCTGCAGCCTAGTTGGGAGGGAACACGATGCGCTGGGGCACTCTCAGATGTGAATGCCTCGTGGTAAGGGAAGGTTGTCTGTCTCAAGGTAAGGGAAAGTTGTCTGTCCCCTGACCAGTGCACCGTGTCTGGCGTCCAGGAGCAAGGGCCCGAAGAGAGCCCCGAACCGGACCCCAAGAAGCAGAAGAGCCCCGAAGCGGCCACAACTGTCTCCGCGGTCCCCGGCTCCAAGCCCCCCGAACCGCAGACGAAACCCCCGCCACCCGAGGTAACGCCTTCTTTGCATAAAGCTCCGGCTCGAGATTTCCCAGACACTGGCCACCCAAGATGGGGCAATCTAGCAGGGTTCAATGTGTCAGGGCCAATTGATAAGTAATGAGACCAATATTTTAATTCGGATATTCCTTTTTCAAGTGGCATCTTTTGCATTCACTGTATTCCTTATATTGTTTAAAAACAATTGAAAGAAATGTGGAAGAAAGTTCTCTGACATCCCTTTCGGCATTGCAGCCGCAACTCTGTTACTTTCATCGTATAAAAAAAAAGAAAAAAAAGTTCCTTCCGTGCAGTTTTTTTTTTCCTTATTCATTAAAATTTTTGGAGTTTATGCGGTTATGAGTCCGGGCTATATGAAGAGTGTTGAAACTCATTTATATGGAAGTGGGCATCCTGACAAAGATGGAGTAAAATAGGGATCCCAAGAGACAATAAATTTATTTATTTATTTATTATTTATTTGAGCATACTGCCAGCCGCCTGTTGGCAGCCAAGGCAGGGGTGGGCATAGACAGACACACACAAAAAAAAAAAGCACGATAACCTAGCACACAGCAAGCATACATGACAAATCATTCGCACTTGACACTATCAACTCTGGAGTAAACAGTACCAATTACGCACACACAAAAAAGACAAAAAAAAAGGCCACAAAAAAAAAAAGGGAGAAACAAATAACCCGCAACAATAATAACCTAATATACCTTCTGCAGTCACCGCGAAAAAAGTTGTTCTATCATTGCTGCAAATGATGACATTGTGGCTGCATTTGTAACAAATGTGTGCGAAGAAGGGTCGAGGCCTCGCCATAAATGAGCAATGTCCTTGCAACATAAATATCTGTACATATGACCTTGTTTAACTAACGAACAGTCAGCCGTTCTTCAACTTTGGACAAACTGTTTTAGTTGGTTGGCATTTCCTATTATCCGGTATAGCGCAATCGTGGAATCAGTCCAGAAATGTGTGTCCGTCAGCTTCTCTCGAAGATGAGTTTTGATGTGCCAATAGATCCTCGCAGCCACCAAGCAAGCTAAAGTCACCGCCTTTAGTGGGGCCACTCCAGATTTACGCAACACAAATTGAGTATAGATTTAACGACAACCAGAGGTTCTTTCAAAGAGTGTTACGGTGCACTTACCCCTGTTTAAAGACTAACGCAAAATTCAGTCACGCAGCTCTTCCTCACGATAGGCCAGCTGAGCAAAGAGTGTATCACTCATTTTGCTGGCCCATCGTAAGCAATGAAGTAACTAGCTCGGCTTAAGTCCGTGACGAGGCACCTCTCCCATATACTGCCGCAAGCACCTCTTCGTCATCCGCCATGTCAGCATGCGTGAGGTGCCTTCGCTCTCTGCGACAGAACGCTAAAGACTATGACGGCTAAACTGACATGCAGATGCATTACCTTTACAAACATCGGCACAACACTGCCTGCCTAACTCCTCGCAAAAAAAAAAAAAAAGAATCGGCCTCATTACTTTTCAGTCAACCCTCATATTCGTCGACGTCATTTCGCGACGTTGGCAAATAAATATTTGCCGATGTTAGGAAACTAGTTCCGAACGCGTATTGGCAAGCTGATGCAAATGCACGAATAGCTCCTTGAAAATGTCTGAGCGTACTGAGCACGTACTCGCCTGTTTACCGCTCCACCCGCTGGTTTACAAACCTGAGGGTGGAGCTACGTAAGTTGCGCGTCAGGTCAACGAGGCGCCTTAGAAATTAAATTAACTTACGAGTGCATATAAACAAAAGCCAGACAGCTTGAAAAACTAATCGCGGACAAAGAAAATTTATTGCAATCTCGAAAGGCAGAAGAAAGGAAACGTCGCCTGAAAATAGACAACGTTCGGTACGAAGAAGTTCTATTATGCCTGACCAACGATAGCACCAAAGTGATTTTTAAAAGAGAGCGAGCTTGACGACGTACGAGCAAATAAGTAAAGGGATAGGCTCGCCCGTTTTTCCACCACGTAAGCATTTACTCTTTCGAATTGTGTTTTATTTTAGGTATTCCCACTTCCCCAACTCTGTGCAAATATTTCCCATTGCGGCACATTTGCTTTTATGCGGCGCTCATAGCTAGTGAGAATCCTACGCACTATACTCACTGTCAGCTTTAACGAATGCTGTTATGTTCACGCTCCTTGCTTTGGCTTTTCTGGTATCTTTATCGGCGAATGCTCGACACCGACGACGTCCAGCGTTTGCATCTGCTTAGAGTTCTGGTCATCTCTTACGACGAGGTGGCCCTGGAACTGCATTTCAATGGGGCAGATGTTTTGCACATTTGGGAGGTCAAATGTGCACACATTCTAAGAGCAGTGGTCATCCATAGCATTCTCAGCAGTTTTCCGAGCCAAGAAAGAAAAAATGATATGGCAGATATATAGGAAATGCATGCAAAGTGTTCTCCTGCTGCCCGACGGTTGGTGGCAGTGTCTTCTTCTCGTTGTAGGAGATCACCAGAGGTCGTAGCATTTGTTAGTGTGTGAACCAGCTCAAGCTGTCACTCGCTTTAGGCAATTGAATCTAACTAGAAACGTAAGAATGTAACAGCTGCTTTAGAAATTGGTGCGCGTAAATACGCTCGAGTGAGCAATCAGATGTGCCGTAGATGCGATCTAAATGGCATCGTTCCTTTTACTCTATGTTTGGCTACAGGATCTCTTATGTGTTTTTGTGTTCTAGCCGAGCCCCGAAGAGCCGCCGGCCGCCCCTACGCCGCACGAGGCCCCCGCCACTCCTGCTGCACCACCCGCAGTAAACTGCCGGGCCACTGCACCGGTGAGGAGAACGTGTCCAATGTGCCGTGATCCACTCCCACGCATCTGGTCGACCGGGAGTTTATTTTTTTCTTCTTAATATCGTAAAAATGTTTATTTACTTTTTACACCTAGTCACGTCTTTGTATAAATCCCAACAAATGACCGTTTTCTGAAAAAAGTCGTTATGCATGTCTCACCCATATATTTGAATGGTCGGCGCGACCAAACTGCATCGAAAAGCCGACATATCTGTTTTATAATCGTAATGCATGCATAAGCGAGAGCAAATCTTAATATTTTTGTTCACTCGAACGAGGAATATGAACCTCGTGGAAAATTTTCGCAGTTGAGGTCCACACTTACAGAAAAAAATTGCGGTGGCTTAGCTCGGCTATGCCAGGATGTACGTAGCGTGAGCTTATGTGCACAAAATGAGAGGCGCTATCAAGCGGCTCCTTGGCTACTGCGCAACGGAGGTGCACAGCTGGGCACGCGGCGGCGCCAGTGCGTCTGCCGCGGCTATGACGTCACTCCTCTGGAATGCGCAGACCGGCGAGGCGCGTACGGCGGCTCCGGCACGGCAGATGTGCGCCGTGTGACGTCACTGCTCCTCGCACTTGCGCAGACCGGCTTTTTGTGAGCCATGCGAAACTGCTCAACCTCGGCCAGTGTAGCTTACGCTACAAAATATGCATGTATGCCGTACCATTGTATTCGATGCACCAACGTAAATTTTGAAGGAAAAAAGAAAACAGTGCAACTTGTACATTGGGGAATATGGTAATACACATATCTCATCATTAAACAATAAATAAAACAAAAAAGAAGAAAAGCAAACAAAGCAAGCACAATTAAGTGAAACCAGATTGAAATTGATTAAGATATGGTTTGTAAAGGGATAACGAAAGCGACAAAATGGGATAGGTAATTGAATGCAAAAAAAAAACAATAAACTATTTAACGATCAACCATTTCGTCGTTTACCCTGAGGCTGGGGGTTTTTTTGAAGAGCAGAAGAACAGAAAAAACAGACAGGTCTCAAACTCAGCTACACGTTTATTTCAACAACTTCCTCTTATATAGTTCGTTTTCGTCGTCAACAACCAATCACATACGACTTGTCCTTTGCACCGTGACTTTACAGGTTCCACTCTATCACAAAAGAAGCGGACACTCCCAACGTTTCCAAGTGAAAAGGTTCTAGCAGAAGATATGCCTCACAAAGCCTCAAGCAACTCTTTTGTGTCTTCACAATAAACAGGACAACAGCCCACAACAACATCCCACTCAAAACTGGTCACCTCCAAAATTGTAGAAAACAGACAATACACACCAGTACACACCACAGACAATACACACCAAAGAAGCCTTTCAGAATGACTAACCAAAAAAAAAAAAAAAAACTTAAAATTGTAAAAATTGCTTGCAGCGGTTCCCTATTTGCATGGAAGGTTGACTGATGCAATTTCCCAACGATCTAATCCTAATTGTTTCTCTTACCACCCTCTTAACATCGTTGCTTTCCTTAACAACTACATCCGTTCCAGACCAATCCGTTGTGCAGTTTCTACACTCCTCCAGATGCTTCGCCAACTCCGAATTTGCTGCATTATTTTTAACATTCCTTTTGTGTTCCGTTAAACGATCGTTTAAACACCGAGAGGTTTGGCCTACATACTTAAAACCACACGCCAAAGGAACCTCATACACCACGCCTACGCTACACGGCACCGACTTTTCCCTATGCGCCTTCTGACAGCCCCTCTGAGCCGTTTCAAAAGGTGTCAATCTATCTAACCTAAAATCCGTGCTGAATACGACATCCACGCCATATTTTTTTGCACATGCTCTAAGATTGTGGGACACCTCGTGAAAATACGGAACCACAGCGTACCTCTTCCTGATTTGTGATAGAGTGGAACCTGTAAAGTCACGGTGCAAAGGACAAGTTGTATGTGATTGGTTGTTGACGACGAAAACAAACTATATAAGAGGAAGTTGTTGAAATAAACGTGTAGCTGAGTTTGAGACCTGTCTGTTTTTTCTGTTCTTCTGCTCTTCAAAAAACTCCCCAGTCTCAGGGTAAACGACGAAATGGTTGACTTCCACCAGCTAGCCTGTACTTTGACTCTCTTCTATTTAACGATCTCGCTCTACAATAATCTGGTGTCATGCAAGTCAAGGTGAGTAGTTATACAATTGTTTGCATTGGTCTTTAAATGAAATTGTATTACAATTGGTTACAATATAATCGCATAAATTGCTTCAGTCATCGATGCAAGGTGCTAAAGGAGGAAAGGAAAGGTGTTAGTCAGGCACATAGCCAGGATTTTGTTTCGGGGCGGGGGAGGCCCACCCATGACAAAATGCTGTATGAGGGGGAGGGGGGAGAGGAGGTCCCAGCAAAATGGAAGATTTCGGGAGGGGGGGGGGGGTGGCGGCCCAGGCCCCATGGCTACGTGCCTGGAGTGCAGCACTAAGATGGTTCTATTTTGCATGAGGGAACTAGCCTGGAGAATATGAAGTCGGCAGGGCGGCAATAAATAGACTTGAAATTGGAATCGGTCTGATATGTGTCGTAAAGAAAACACAAAAAAACTTCCTTTTGTTTACAGTTTAGTGCTGTATGGCATTCTGCGGTGCTTCAGAGCCCCATGGCCTCTTGTTTCAGAGCCCTGTAGTGCCGTGCCCACGTGCTTCGGCCACCCAGATCCCCGTACGACTGCGTCCAGCAGCCGTTGCGTCCAGCCAGCCCGTCTCTCCCGTCGTCACCGACTTCAGGGTGCCAGTCAAGGGGTCAGTGGCCACTCAGAAAGAACATTGGGGGCAGAACTTTGGGTAGGGGATCATTGTTGCACTTGTGTACCAGCTCCTTGCTGCTAAATGTTTCCACTGTACTGCCATTATCTTGTGCTTGAAGTGTCTCACTTAGTCTCATGTGTCATGCAAGAGGTTTCGCCCGATCAAAGACTATGACATCACGTGCACGGGCCAGAATTTCTGGGCCCAACTTGACTTGATCTGATAGAGAAACACAGCTTCTTAAACATAGTCCCTGCCCGGCCTGATTGCTTTTATTTTCTACTTTAACTTCACTTCTCAAATGCCTGTTCTTCACTTGAAAATCGGTAACTGGCCATTTCGTCGCATCAGAAAAAGCGGGACTGATTCAGACGGGCCATTCTCATGTAGTTCATACCCCGACAGATAAACGGATGACTGCGGAAACTGTTAACTGAACAGTTCAATGAGGTGACGAACACCATTTAATCATTCACAAAATAGAAAGGTTGAAAGAATGACGATCTACGGCCTTGCAGGGTTACTTGGTTCAAAATGACCACAAGTAAAAAGTGACGAAGCAAGTAAAGTTAAGGCACAGACCTCGTCAAGCACTCTGCATGCTGCTGCTTTTTTTCTTTCTTTTCTCAGAAGAGTTGAAAATTAGACCTGATTTTGTCTTGACTGGTGTCGTCTGCTGTCCCACAGGGCCAGTACAGGTTCCAATGTAGTGTCAACTAGTGAGTCATTGGTAAAGTAATATAGAAATGCAACAACGTAGGAAAAACGAGGCAACTCGTTTTTCCTTACGAGTTGGTTAATTATTTCCCGGCTGTCTGCCAGCAAAAATTATGTGGAATTGTTAGATGGTCTAGGAAAAATGCTGCAGTGTTCAGGAAACTTTGTGGATTGGTTGTACTTATTTGTACGCTTCGCTGCCTATCTGTGTGCAGAAAATTGGAATGCAACTTTTTGGGGAAATTTATTGGCACTTGTGCGAAAAGCTAGGGTTCGTGCCGCTACTATAGTCCCCGACAGTCTAAAAACCGCGAGTCCTGTGCATCTAATTATTGCTTGGCAGCCAATCAGATCGTGCCATTAACCGAGAAGGACCAAGACGGAAGCGTCGACGGGATAAGCTACGCATTTTCTAAGCTCTCAGTGACTCTAATAGGAGTGCCTGACACAAAACGTTTTGGACTTACAGAAGTCTAAAATTTGACACATCACGGCTGCATCATTGATGGTGCACAGGCTCGTTGCCCTACATCAGGGGTTCTCAAACTTTTTGGTCTCGCGGAACCCCGGGAAGCCTCAAAAACTGCCGCGGAACACTGCTCCCCCCCCTCCTCTATATTTGCGGACCGAGAAGCAACAGATGCACAATTGTAGGCAATTTTGCTTGCGTTGCTTCCCATATATCCTCACCATATCAATCGCGATGTCAGTACAAAGTGAGATGAAGGCGCTTTGCATGGTGCTGCCGCACAGCCTGCGGCGGGGGAGGGGGAGGGGGAGCAATTTGGGTGTTCGTGGAACCCGTGAGACCAGCTCGTGGAACCCCTGTGTTCCCCGGAACCCAGTTTGAGAACCCCTGCCCTACATAATGTTTTATTTACAATATTGCCACGTGCATGACCAAGGAGGAATGCTTCTCTGTACTTCCAGAAGATTCGAGTTTACTATATTACCCAAGTGTAATGAAGAGGTCCAACATGACCTTTTTCAATTAAATCTCACCCTAGCTCACTCGCGAACATTCTGGTTCAAATATTTGAAATCTTGACTGTACTACATGAGGAGCCAAGTGTGGCCTTGCCAACTCACCCTTTGCCGCTCTTTTGCGCTGGCCAGCCATCACGTTGGTGCCGTGGCGTTCGTTCTGCTCCACTGCTCGACGCCCATTCTCTTTTTTGTTTCTGGCATAAGTTCGCCGATTAAGCCTCTATTTTCAGTTTCACGCTGGTCGATACATTTCCATTCACAACAATACAGTATTTACAAATGGACAACTGCACTGTCTGAAGACATCCGGCGTCGATGCTGCTTCATAGCTCGGCACATCTCGTGATAATCGCTTCGTCTTCTTTCTTACACTGGTCACTGCTGCATTGCGTAAATAAATTAGGTTTTCTAAATTAATTATTGAATTTACAAGTATGACTTTTTCCGACATCTTCGTCGATTGAGATTGAGGGGTGATCTTTTAAAACAGTCTGTGATCAATTTGTGTCTGCAAGGTCATTCCTTTTTCTTTTTAATTCCTTATTATGTGGCAGAGCAACATAACCTCATGCATGGACATGTATCTAGAGTGGCAATATGAGGGTCCCTAAAAATATCCAGTGAGACTGCTTGTTCTTCGGGTAAAGCAATATTTTCGTTACAATTTGCCTTCTACAATAATACCGTATTTGCTCACATAATTAATGCACTTGTATAATCAACACACTCCCCGCAACAGTCATATTTGGATTTCTTTTTTTTTTTTTTTCTATCTGCATCGAACGCACTTTTATTTTTTTGGCTCTGCGAGTCTTGAACAATGTTACTAGTTTAAAGTCAGTTCACAAGCTTCCTAGAACGCCTGGTGCCATGTCGTGGCACGTGTGCTCGTTGGCACTTGCTGCATGCACTATCAGTCCGCCTAGTGGACAGAAGCAGCGGAACTGATGGAACGTTGAATGCACATTACCTGCAGTGGAAAGGGATTCTATCCTGGCTTTTATTGTAAACACAAAGTTTGCGCAGAGTTTGGTGCAAGAAAAGTGTCGTTCAAAAACTGTCCTTCTTCGTTGCCCCTGGAGGCGTCAATGCTGGGGACATTAGGAACGCAATCTGCCCACACCTGGCTCGCATGCAGGCAACAGAGAAGAACAGATTTCAAACGCCGCTGTCTTCAACTGCATCCAACCCATCCATCCACCGAGCGAAGTAAACCACCAAGCAGCCAGGCCAGATCAAGCCAAGCCAAGCCAAGCCGAGCATGGCAGCACAAGCGCGTGTTATGGCTGCAGGGGGGAAGTCGTGGGAGTGATCAACAGCATAACTGAGTGGCGCGCACAGCCAACAAAGCTGTTTTTTTTTTCCATCGGATGCATTGATGTCAACAGAAACGCTGTCGTCTGCTGTCCACTTTCGGACTGAAATTGTGAAAGTGGCTAGGCCCAGGAATGCTCGTGTTGCTCTTTGTGCCGAATGAGATTCGTATGGCACTTTTTTTTTCTCAAAAAGAATGTGAGGATGCCTTAAGAGAAGGTTTGGAATATGTAGAGCATGGTTACTAAGGTGTGTCCACAATCAGCCCTGGGTGCACCTCCATCGACGTGCCACAGATCTGTTAATGCACAAAATTTTACCCCGCGCAATAAATGTATCTTCCCAAATACGCATACATTTTTCGGGGAAAGAAGAGTGCGTTTATTATGTGAGTAATTATGGTAATAATAATAAGAAGAATAGTTTTAAAACATAAGTATTATCATTAACCAGCAATTATGCCTATCACATACTGCGGAAGTTAAATAGATAAAGTGTAAGTTCACTAGGTTTCTGGAGCAGCAAAACTTTTGTGGCCATTCTTACCCCTAAGTTGGTATTGGCAGGACGTCTCCAACTGTCAACACCCAATCTTGGAAAAGAAATTTAATTTGCCGTTAAACGTCGACATTGGGGCAAGCAACACATAACGGGGGCATGCCGCTTCTCCTTGGCAGCTGGTTGGCAGCTTCTAATTCATTTTATCCTGAAAATGTCAATACTAGTTAGGGCGGTCGCTCAAAGCTGCCGGGGCTTCCTTGAGATTGAAGTGTAACGACTGTACCGGGCCTTCAACAATTGCGTCTCTCCCCGCCAACGCAGAGCGTCGGCCGAGCAGTCGTGTGCCGCCGCACCCTCGTCGGTTGGAGAGCCACGAGCCAAGCCAAAGCCGAGCGTCCCCCCCAAGCCCCAGGTGCCCCCCAAGCCGGCAGCGAGCGCCAAGCCCCACCCCCAGGCGGAGACGTCCTCCGACGACCTCGATGCGGGGACCCCCCAGACCCCCCTTGAACCCGTCCGGACTCCGCCCCCTGCCCAGAGGTGCGGACCTCGGCCGGCTTGGGAAAAGCCTCCCATTATCTCAGTGTTTCTTTGACTGCTTATGAAGTTCACTGGTGCTTATGAATTACGGCCATGTCTCAGTAACATGGACACCCCCATTCTCCAGAAAATCGTCCATTATGTGAGTTGTCCTCAATGTACTTATGGATACCATTCAACCCTAACATAGATGGACATGTGTGGTGTGCGGGTTCACAAACAATATTCAGCTTTACGTAAATTATGCAATAGAAGTAATGAATCGAAGTTTCACACATAATAAACGAGCGTGACCACAGAAGGCACTTGTCTCTGGCCGCTGCCGTTTCATGCCCGACATAATCCCGCCTCCTCTTAAGTGGCGAGGAAGTTCCTGCCTTTACTTTAATACACGTGGTACACGTGACTTTCAGGTCCGTCATTTGCACCTGTGACGCTCGTCGGGAGAAAAGGGCAAGTGACCGTTTGGCTGGAAAGCACCGAAAAATCAAAGCATTGTTTCCGGCCAGATCTTTTCCTCGGGACCAAAAAAAGAATACAAAAATAGTTGACCCAAGAACTTCAATAAGGGTCTTTTCATTTGTGAACTGTCTAGAAAGCATCCATAATAATGAGGCACAAATGTGCATACTTACATGTTCCCAAACTGGCTCTTCATACACTGCGGGATTTTATGTCGAGGAAGCAGAATTTTATGGTGACAGGTCGATCCTCAAACGTCTATGTGGCGGGGTGCTTGTATTACCGGGGGCTCATATTTACGGAATATTACGGTAATAAAAGTGTACGAGCTTTGAGTGCCCCATATATTCACTGTGGGAAAGTTTCAAGCGGTCTGCCTTCCTGCCGAGTACAAGGGGCTTTAGCACGCAAACTGGCACGCTAAAAAGAAAATGCAAAGATTGATCTTGGGGTGGCACATTTATCGTGCCAGCGAGTCTTCCTGCTGGCCCGATATTCTTCAGTTCCCTGACAGGAATGCTCAAAGGCCAGGTGCCTTCCCCTACCAAGCTCTCTGTTTGCTATCATTGGTGCTTTCGTCCTCTCCAGTGTTCACTCTACCAAAGTAGAAAACTTTGTTCGAGGAGCTTAATCTGCAACAGACAGCAGTTCAAAGAAACTTATGAATGCAGAATGTATGTATAGGACTGGGATCCCTGAGGAAAGTGTGATAGCTACACTTTAAAAAACCATGGCATGCCCACCAGATTGAGCAGACAGTGCTTGCGTGACACTGTGCAACATCATGACTTGACATCGCGTGACATGGTCATTTGATTGCTTGTGGTGTCACATGCCACAGCATTACGGAACACTTTGTCTGTGTTAGGCTAAACCCAACGCAGCCTAAAACACGCGGCACAATCTGTGTTTTCCGAATTTGTCCCTGGCTTCAAGACGCACAAAGTGTTTCACCTTTCATTAACTACTGAAAGTGATTGGCTATTCCTGTCGAAAAGAGGGCTCTCAGGAAGCCAGCCAGGCTCAGGGACCCTTTTTATCCCCGGTTCATTTTCGTCTAACTGAAAAGCCTAATTCAGAACGAATAATTTCCAGGATCAGTACCTCCTCGCTTTGTGGCAGGCCTGTCATGACTCGATTTGGATACCCTGCAGTTCACGCTAAATGGCAAAAATAAATTCCAAAACATTCGTAAATTTTGTTTCAATCTAGGCCTCTGAAATTTGCCATTTGCGTTTTCGAGTGAAAACCATAAACTTGAGAAAAAAAGATTAGGCAGGTACTTTTGGGCGTTTTTTGGTAACTGCATGGCGAAGTGAACCGCACATATAACGACTATTATGTACAAAAATGGTCCAGAGAGAGGGAAAATAAGTGACGGTAGTGGAGAGATTGGCAGCCTTAGAGAAATGGTCCAGAAGCCGTAAAACGTCATAACTCAAGTAAGGACTTCGACTTTACATACCAAAAATAATGAAACAAACAAAACATTACGTAACAGAAAATCTAATTTATTATGTTTTCTTTTTTTTTTTTTTAAATATGTACTGACTCAAATGAAACACCGCATAATTATGGTGTATAACGTGATAACCTCGTAAAAGGACTCAGTGGTAGAGATGACCACTCATTTGGTCGTCTCTACCACTGAGCGGCTACTGGGTCGTGATGCCAGTCTGCATTATTTCGAGAGCATGCATTAAACGCGGCACTCTCCTTCTCCTAAATATCTCGGAGTGGGTCTACGTTGCGCCTTGTTCGTGGGCCCAAGAGTTAAAACTCCCGTTGCATGGTCCCGTTGCAGGCACGTGCCCAAGCCTCCCCTGCAACGTCCCACCCAGCTCGCCCAACCCAGGTGCTCAGTGGCCCCTACGGACGAACAGAAGGACCTCGAGGTAAGCGCACGCCAGAAGTATTTGCATGGGCCCGTTGTCTCGAAAATATGTTGTCGAAGGCACAGTCGAGGGCTCGAACACGCATGCAAAAAGCGAAAAGTCACGGGACATTCACTCGACTTGACTAGCGTAGCCGATGGAAGAACACATACAGGGAGATGGACGAATGTCACGATGTCATGCTTTGATGCTGTTTGGTTGGTTCCATTGGCCCGTAGCGTCGGCTGCATTTTAACTCGGGGTGACTTACCAAGTATTGAGATTGCTCGTCAACCGCGCTGTCCGGTCCATACGCTGGCGGGTCGATTGCCGACTTGGTCTAAATTTTCAGGCAACGTCGGCGATGTTAGGAGCTAAGAGCTGCGGGAAAACATTGCAAAATAGTAGGATGGTTGCTACTGTGATAAGACAGAATCAGGGCCTTGTATTCTTGATGAGATCGCTCGATTATCATGTCAGCGGCATGGCTTCGTGCCGCCTATCGCTAGCGCACGCGCTTCTTTGTTATGGAGGGCTGTTCGCTGTAGGGAAGTCGGGTGGTTGTGCCAGCACCGCTCCGGGCGGCCGTTTTGCCGTGCACCTGGATAAACACCAGGGGGCACATCGATCGCCCTTCCTTTATAAAGCAGCGCAAGGCGCCGCTTGCTGCTGACTTTCGGGTTGTGGGCCAAACCGGCCCGCACGTGCAATCATTATAAATATGTTACTCGTAACAAAGGTTGTGTTCCTTTTGTGCCCTGTGTTATTACGAAAGGTAACGAATAATAAGCTCCTGTATAAGAAAGAAACCCTCAGTCATTATAAAAAAATGACCTCATTTAGCGATGCAATAGTGATGATGGTTCTTCCTCTCGTGATGATTGCGTCGGCGACAATATCTGAAGAAAAGTATGGCGGATCGTTGTGTCGATGTGACGCAGGACTTTGGAGGTGATAATGAGCATATGTAAAATATATTTACAAGTAGACAGATATAGTTCCAAGTTACATCATACTGTTAAGATCAAGACACTCTTTCACCCTCATTCGTCTTTATTGTTGCGGATAGACCTTCATGTCTTCCTCAGTGGACTGGCTTGCTTCACAAATCACTTAACTCAGGGGCACAGAGCTTTTCGGAGAGTGTGTTTAGTCCACATGGTCGGTGTGCTGTTGTTTTATGACCACGAGAAAGAGAAACGGGTGGAATCTCTGTACATGTGATTTTCAAGGGGATGTATGGACTGTTCGATATAAACAATAAGTTGAAATACCCGACTGTGATATAACCGACTGCACAATGTTAGCAAATTTTCTCCTACACACCCGGTACATATGAAGGCCCCTGAAAGAGTGAGGGCGGCAGGGGTGAGTTTTAGTTGCCCCACCTCTGGGGCGAGCTTCCTACTTCGATAATGTTCAGGCGTCCTGTCAGCTTCAAGCGTGCGCGCGCAGCCAAACCACGGGGCAACAAGCACGCGATAGACACGGAGCATTCCAAAGAGACACCCTGCCATTTTCACCAAGGACAGCCTTTCTCGGTGTCTTGAGCGAACACCCGCTGCCTCGTAGAGCCTGTGTGCTGTGGCGAGTGTCGTTTTCCTATTCTCAGGTGAGCGAGGAGCAGCCGGCACGCACCGAAGGCGACGGTGGGACGCACGAGGAGCTGGCCGCCTCGGACACGGGTTAGTCGAGTTGCTCGTGGCTGTCTTCAGAAAGTGCTTTTCTAGAGTTTAGGGTGGACAATAAGTTACATTTTAAATCTCTATCCATTTGTTTATGAATTTATAGCACTTACATTCACATCATCATTACGCATTAGTGTAGTACGTTTCGTTTATGAGAGAGGGTGCAAAAATATGATTTCAATAAAGAGCATAAAGAAGTAACCGTTCATTACATTACAAAGCGACAATTCACGGATGAAAAAGTTAAAACAGTGACTTTGTAAAGAACTAAGAAATTGGAGTATTTGAAAGGTTTCTCCAACTGTACCCCTTCTTGGGGAGTTTCGAAGCGGCTCGGTTAGTTTAAAGAAACACAAACTTTCTTCTCTGCGGCGACATTGATGAAGATAAAGTATGGGTTGCGGCTCAATGTCGAGCTGGAACCGATAGTTGCAATGTTTGAACTCCGCCTTTGTTTCGAGAAACTGTGCTACAGTATAGACCACTTACAACGTAACCGCTTATAGTGCAGGACCGGGTATAACGCGGTTTTTTTAAACCACCGGTTCGCCTCCCATAGAACTCCATGTAATTACATATCGCTTAAAACGCAGGCGCGCGAAGGGAAATACCGGTTATAGTGCGGTTTCTGGCACAGCCCGCCGACCGCGCCGACGACCGGAGCAGCGAGCACGCTTCCCTGTGCGACACTAGATAACGGCGCTGACGGTGCGAGCCGCAAGCGTTGCACAAGCGGCACTCGCGGGGCAAGGAGGTTGCTCGAAGAAGCGGGAGAAGCGAAGAGAGAGGCTTCAGTTGCCTTAGCGACGGAGGGACGCACGCACGTGTCGTTTACGTGCGTGCGTCCCTCCGCTTCCTTGAAAACATCCGAAACAACCGCAACGACAGACCAATTGCAGGTCGAGAAGTGTTCGCGCGCGTCGCATGCCGGTCGCGGGCCGGCTGCTTCTAATCCGCAAACATGGCATCGGTTGTGATCAACGTTGTGATCGTCGTCGGCGTTCATCTCATCGTTCCGCGTAAAAGCGCTATCCTTTACTGTGAATTTTCGCTGTGTGTCGCTATGATAACCCACCACGTACTAGAAGGGAAGATCCACCTACTCGAGCGGCGATGTCGTGGCGGCGCTCTCAAGACGGCAGAAACGCCCGTGTCGTCGTGTTTGTTTACTTCGACTACAGTGGTGATTTCTAAGCATTTGTGTGCTCGAACATCGCCCGGATTTCTTATTTGGCGCATTTCATGCGTGTGCTCAAGTTCAAGGTATTACTGGCGCGTACCGTATGAAGGATCCGAATTTTCACGCGTTTTCATCTCCGGAGAAAAGTGATTAGGGTTAGCAATCCTGAACGCTCGCAACGTCCGTCCGCAACCCGCGACGCCGCTAAAAGGCTGCGCCAGGCAAAAGCCGCTCATTTCTTTCAAAATCTGTGACACACTTGAGAGAGAAGTGTACCGGTCTGGTGAAATAAAGACTTTCCTCAAACTAAGCTTTATTTTTCATCTCACATAAAATAAATTGTTTTACAAAGGTAAGTTGTCTCATGGCATGTATTTTGGCCTGAAAAATTGATGTTTTGGTTATAACGCGGTACCGCTTTTAGTGCGGATTTTCGCGACTCCCGCGACATACGTTATATGCGGTCTACACTGTATAACAAACAAGCTTACTTTAGTGGTCGGGAGCAGTTATTCCTGGCTTTTTGTTTTAATTACGATAGCAAATACGATATAGCTTCGCCAATACTGGAAACTCCTCCGAAAACAAATAGGAACGGCGGCGAACGTGACAGTGGCGCCTCTAGCGGACTCGGAGTCTACTGAAGCAGTCGTCGCAATGGAAAAGTATAGGCTCCGCGACGTCCTCGAGCTTTACAAGCCCCGTATCGTCACCCTAACAGCAGAAACAATTTATTACGGTCAGTTCGCTTGCAAAGCGGAATCCACTGATCGCAACTGCAACGACAATCGAATAACAACGCGCGCATAAACAAAGATAGAGCAGTTTATTTAGCGGTCTCAAACGCCTCTCAGGGGATCACACGCGTTTGAAACGCGTCTGGGAAGCGGAAAAAAGCCGTTTAGCTACTCGAACTACGTCGTAATCGTTAAAACATGCAAAAACGACATGTTAATATTACCAGAGCAGGCGCACGAGCTGCTGGAGCATAAAAACAAAACAAAAAGTAAAGATAAAAATGAACGTGCAAACACTTACCGATCTTTGCAGAAAAGATGGTGTCGCCATTCCCGACGAAAATAAAAAGAAACGGGAAAGAGGATCGAAGAACGGCGAATAAAACGAAGAAGCTAGCAAAAAACTATTTCAACGACGACGATCGTTGCGGCGCTTATAGAAAAAAAAAGAAAAATGGAAAGCAGCAAATGAATAGCTGGTGGTCGCCACCAATGTTGAGTTCACGACAAACAAAGCGGAAGCAACAGACGAAACTAATGAAAAAAGAAGAAAGTGACCCTTTTTTTTTCAGCTGCTTGTTGTACATTTCTTTATTTGCTTTCGCGGCGTAGGTACGAACTAAAAATAAAACGGGGGAAATAAATAACGTAGTGCAGCTCACACTGCCCGGTAAAAAAGAGTCGCAGAAATGTTTTCGTTGCAGGCAGCAATCTTCTATATGTGCTAGCAGTGAGTAACCTTTTTTTGCTTTCGAATTTCTTTTTCCAGTGACTTTGGCGGGTTGTTCGTTCGCTCGCTTGACGAAGCAGTTTAAAAGTGCATTCAAGTACTTGTTGACGTAGGTGTCCGTAGGTTGACGTAGGAAGCAGAAGAAAGATTTTCCACCACATCGCACAAACTTGTTCTTGAATGCGGCCGGTTGATCAACAAACGATGACCCGTAGCAGACGTGCCGGCCGGAGTACACAAATAAAATTCGAATAAATATGGGTAACGAGCTTACACTTCTTAATATATTTAATAAATATCAAAAAGCACGTATGACGATTTTGGATTAGAAACTTAATCGAAGGCGAAAATAGGAGGTTATCGCAGACGACAGTGGAAGAAAACAACAACAACAACAGCAAAGTTGCAGACGGCCCTCAAAATGCCCGGGCCTAGCGCAGACGAACCGGGGGTAGTAAGCGCCGAAGCGAAGGAAAGGGAGTAAAAACTAAGCCAAACAAAGTAAGGATACGCGATTGTTTACATGCCGGGCAAAAAAAAAAAAAAATATACACAGCAACATATAAGCAGGAGGAAAAAATAACGCGGCAGAGTGGCTTCGCCTCAAAAATATAAAAGAGAGAAGACTCAAAAATGGAAAGAGTGGAGACGGTTCAACGGGTGTCGGCCTTTATCGTAGAAGTAAAGAAGCAGCTAAGCAGAAGATGTTGGTCGTTCCCGCGCTAACAATCGGAATTTGTGCACTGTAAATAACGTGACTGAAATCATCTTTTTTCGCGGGGCTACGACGCTCTCCCCTTCTTTCTTTGCAAGCGCGAGAAGTCTGCTTTTTTCGTAACTCCGCTTTTGTTAATCTATAACCGCGTCAGATTTGCATATGCACAACGCCTTCTTTCGGAGCATACTGACATCGCCGTAACGTATGTGGTTCGAAATTGACATCTGCTTCTTCATCCGGAGACGATCTTAACGGGATTAGCCAGCTCGCCTGTTCGACGAAACGGTTATAAGCAAGACACTCATGAGAAATGGGAATTGCAACGACAAAACAAATTGACTGATAAGAACAATAAAGTTGAAACGAAGCTATGTTCTGAAATGTTTGTACATTTCCCTTTTTCACGAAACAGCGCGAGGGCATACATTCGTGTTTTGCTTGGCTTACATAAGTTGTGACAGACTGCTTTCTTCGGGAGAACTCCGAAATTGCACCCAGAAAGCTGTAAAATCTTTCCCACGCGAAGAGAATGTCCTTCACTCATGAGCTGGCACCCATTTTTTAACTTTCAAAGCAGCGAATGTCCGTGACAATTTTTTTTCGTTGGTCGCCTCGCACGGAGATAGGCAAAACCAATGCATTTTGGAGAATTGTTCTGCCAGCGGAGACTCCGAGCTCGCCAGGGGCGCTGCAATCACTTTTCGCCCGTTTTCCGCGGGAGTTGCCAGTATTGGCTTCCACGGTATTTGACGATAGTCTCTAGCCAAACTGATTCACCGTGACTATACTGTCAAATGAATTTCACTACCACTTTTGTCTATTGCTGTTCATGCACTGAAGTCAAAAACATTGTTGCATCGCAAAAAGCCAGGAGTTGCAACGCAATATTTGTATTTTTGATAAATTGCAGGATAGCAGAGATTGGGGAGCACTGAGTTGAGGTATACTTAATTACATGACAAAACTGCAAGATATAAACTGAGAATGTTTTAAGAATTATTGCTTTTATTTGCCCATCATACTTTTTTTATTTACTTGATTAACAGACGCAGCTTATACGAACAATGCTCTCGCGTTTACCGTCCCGTGGAGCACTCATGTAAAAAATTGTTTCAATCGGCATAATGGACGTACGGGACGGGAGTAGGAACCTCACACAAAAGCGCCATCTAGGCAGGTCATGGTTGCGTGGTTAATGATTATTTTCTATATTTATCGCCACGTCGAGTCGCGCCGTCACGCAATACCCCAGTGTCGCAGGACCTCAATTTCAACCTCTAAATTTAGCGGGGAAATGCTCAGGCAAATGTTTCGGATCGGGGGTTCCGTTAAAAACTATTCCACGCTTTAATTGGCGCATAGCTGGGAGTTAGAAGGAAGGCGAGTTCGAGGCGAGGTCAAGACCCAGTTCTTCCCTGATGCACCCTCGTGCGTCTTCTCGGCCCTTTCCTCTCCGTTTTGACAGAGAGCGGCGAGGAGCAGCGTGCCCCCTGCCCTGCCTCAACGGAGGCACCAGGTGCCAGGAAGGGCAACCTCAAGACCCAGGGCTCGACCAAGAACCCGCACAGGGTCAGCTTCGACCCCCTGGCCCTGCTGCTGGACGCGGCCCTAGAGGGGGAGCTCGAGCTGGTCAAGAAGACCGCCCTCGAGGTACTGCCCGCCTCTCGCACTCCTGCCATGTGCGTTCAAGAGGAGGCTGGTGCGGGCATTTAATCGACTCCGTCCCTAACGCTTGCAAGCACTCGTGGCGAGAGCCATGGCGTCACAAGTCGGATTCCAGCTGGTTCCAGCTGGAATCCAGCTGGACCCAGCTGGAATCCAGCTGGACTGCCTCATTTCCAGCTCAATATTCCAGCTGGAAGTGGGCTGATTTTCACCTGGGATGTCCCCAACTTATCCTCAAGCAGTCCAACTATGGACTTGACTGCGTTGCCACCACTTGACACTGCTCATGACGAGATGGTTGCTATGGCAACCGAGGTCCCTGTAACGCGCTGTAGTGGATGGAGGAAGTTGTAATACTGTCAGCCACACTCAAAATCAAATGTCTGAACCAGCGTTAAAGAATGTAACACTAAACACAACGGAAACAAAGTAGCTGCCTTAATATTCGGAGCAAACACCCGCCTCGCGCAGTGGTTCCATCTCGTTTTAACGCAGTGGTGTTAAGGAGCTCTTTTCGCAGAAAATCCGGCGTCGGTGGCATGACGAAAGAATCATGCGTTGGTGGCATGACGAGAAAAGCCAGCGTCGGTGGCGTGCCGCGAAAATCCTGATTGGTCGATAGGGTCTTGAGGTCGCAGCCACGTGACCTCGCACCGGAATTTCAAACAACCCACAACGCTCACGATATATGTGACATCACGCGTGGAACGAAAGTGACTAAAAAACATGACATGTAATGCGAATTAAAGGTCGCCGCATGTCTCAAATGACTTCACTCTATAAAGTAATTCATTTGCCTTAAAGAAAATTTTGAAGAATTTTAGGCGTATCGACACGTTCGAGTCAATACTGCAACGCGTCGAACGGGTAATTGGGGCGAGGTAGAGAAACTAAATCGAAGAAAGGGTCCATCGGACATCACAGGGAGCATTTGTAATTGAATGGCGGACGCCTTCTGCGGAGATTCATGGCGAGTGTGCATAAACCACATTTCCTCGTGACAATGAGGAAAGCAGGCGGAAAGGCGGAGATGTCTGCCAATGATTGACGTTTTTGTCACCCGCGCTCAGCTCTTATTGCGAACGCGGCCCATAAACCACGTGACCCAGCAAAAAATTCCCATTAGATCCAATCGGAATTCCAACTGGTTTTAATTGGAACCAGTTGGTTCCGGCAGGTTCTAACTTGAAGCACACTGGTCAATGGGTCTCACGACTTGAGGTTATTTTTCCATTTGTATCCTGAATGGGTTCCAAATGGTTCCTGTTGGTTCCCATTGACAGTGACTAATTGGTTGTCCAAAAACCTAATTGGTAAGAAGGGGAAAATTTCAATTGGAATCTAAAGGGAATTTTCAACCGGGGACCCTGAAAGAGCTGTCGGAAACTCCGCAATACAGGCTCTCTGGAGCGAGGTATCGACCCGCCATGCCCTCCCACGCTGGCTCCCGCAGGTTCCCAACCCCAGCGCGGCCAACGACGAGGGCATCACGGCCCTTCACAACGCCATCTGCGCGGGCCACTTCGACATTGTCAAGTTCCTGGTCGAGTTCGGCTGCGACGTCAACGCGCAGGACAGCGACGGATGGTACGTGCCTCTTTTCTTGCACTGCGACGTCAACGCGCAGGATTCGCCGGATGGGTCGTCCGACGAATCCCTGCTCTCAACTCCGGGAGAGCCGGAATAGTCAGGCCAGTCGGTAGCAGTTCGTGACACGTAAATGGGCACACGAGGAATAAAGAACGGGCACGGTAGACAATTGCTTACCCGCAATGCCTAATCGGACTTTGTACGCTACCGAAAGATTTCACCCTTGGTTCACTTAGACGCATTACAATCCCCCGGCCCTAGTCTCGGGTGGGAAGCCTACAAGTCGCCTCTGGTTATTTATTTATTTATTTTTATTTATCGAAACAAATTGTGGTTATGATTCACCATCAAATTAGGAAGAGAATTAGGTCGCTCAAAGACATGTAAACTTCGAAGAAGAATGTGTTTGCCATCGCTTTCACTTTTCTTTAAAGTGAGAGGGAAAGGAGGAAGCTTACTCTCGCCTGCCCTTGCTTTTCTCTCCTCGCCATTTTTCCCGTAACGGGAATTGAACTCCTCCTTTTCACATCGGCGTTTAGGGTTAGAAAGGTAATCTCGCGGAGAAATGCAGAAGCCGCACCTTCTTTTTCCCTGCCTCTCTTTGAAGCTACCCCTTTACTCGAAGTACACGATGAACACTCCGTTTGACCCTAAGTCGACTGTGTGGTGGAAGCTATGGGCTCTTCAAACCAGGCCTATTTTTCCCCGCGTGATTACGCACCTACCGTAATATCCCGAGCCATCGCCCATCCCCGAGTCATTGCCGACCCACTTTTAGAACCAATATCGATTTCCAAAAAAACGCAGAGTCATTGCCCACCCCTTCAATAACCCCAACGCTGACTCCGCAATCCGCAACCATTCATCCTACCCGAATGACGCAGCCACGGACCTTACAGTTGGAGGACGTCTGTGACAAAGTAAATTGAAGGAGAGAAAGACACTTCTCTTTGTTTACGCATTTCCTCCCCGAGCTACCTTGAAGTCGTAGTGTATCCGTGTGAAAAGGAAACGATGGAGATAACAAAATGAAAGTTTGTTTTGCTCACAAAAAGATAATCCCGAAAAAAAAAAAAAAAAGTCGGAAAGATAACAGAAGCAGCAACCCATTCAAAAATCACGAAGTATGCGAACGCTCATATCTTGGAATGTAACCGCAGAGTGTAAGGTCAAAGTCTGTCTCCGCCGAAGTAAGGTCACCATGAACCCGCTTCTTCTCCTGGCTTGTCGCGACGGCAGTTTTGCAATGTTTAAGAGAAAGCCAACGGGTAAATAAAGCTTTGCGGGAACGACGCACACAGACGTTTGTAGAGAGTCCCATTTGGAGCTCCGTGTTCATGGTGCCGTCCTCACCACGCAGCAACGCCGCCTCAACCCGCTTTGATACCACGCTGTGCACGAACGCACGCATGTATGCACCAAACAAGAAAGTTGTGCAAGAGCTTGCGATTGACAAGGTGCTCGACTTGGCCCTACGCCAAAGTATTTGTCAACGCAATCGCCGGCTTTTCCGCTTTCCCAGCATCGCTCTTCATCGCTTCTTTGGTCCGCTCGCTCGCTCATTCCACTCGGTTGATTTTTCTATTTTCTTGTAGACTTTTTTTTTTTTTTAACTAACGAGGAGAACATAGCGGTGTAACGTGCTTTCACGGAACAAACGTTCGCACTGTATGCCAATTGGTGGTGTTCATGGTGCGTATGCAAGCAACGGACTGTGTGATAGTAAAACATTCTTTCATGGGCACTTTCTTTGCATAAAACAATAAAACTGATTCAAGTTATGAGTTTAATGTACCTTTTCTGCAGCCGCGCTAGATACGCCAAAAAAATGGGCGTTTTTTTCCGTTTTTTTTTTAAGGTCTTGCGCTCACCCACCGGGACAAAACCTACCCCACTTTTTTCATGAATTTCAGGCGGCAGGCTTGTGGGTGATGACTCGGGATATTACAGTACGAGCAGAGAGCGTCGTCGGGCGACGAAAGAGAGGCAGCCGAACGGAGTGTAAATAAAACTTAAGAAAGCTGAAGCAGTATTCTTCTCGCACGCTGGCATCTGCTTGCTCCATTGGGTTCCTCCCATGGTTCGTCCATTTCAAATATTATCCAGAAAGCGTAGCGAGAACATTGACAACAGCTTTTTCTTTTCAAGAATAACTTTTGGTTCTGTTTGAGGTTTGCTATTTTAAATGTCTCGCAGGTTCTGTAGCTTCTTTCTATTAGAGAACGAAATATGTTTTTTTTTACTGTTCCAGCAAATGCATAAAGTAGTATAAGGAGCTAATTTGCAATAAACTAATTTTGAGACATCTTGCGATTTAGAATTATTGAGAAAAAATTGATTGCGCAAATATAGGGTGTCCCAAGTCACCAGGCTCGATCTAAAATAGTCCAAAAAAATTGACGCCTGCACGTAGCAATCTAAACTTTTCTTCAAAGGTGTATTTCACTGGTCGTTTTTTTCTTGTAAAATTTGAAAGTATAGCTCCCTTTCTGTAAAAAATAGGGCCAAAAAACTTGCCAGGGTCAACGGCGAGCGGCAGCGCAGATGACACGGTCGAGTGGCGGGGCACGCTAAGCCCTCATATCGACAGATGGCGCTACCTCCTTATTGATACGGCTCGCGACCACCATGGCTTATTAAAATGGACATAATCTGTTTGTAATGTACCTTTGGTTAAAAACTAAATGCAGACAATAAAAGCAAAACTTAAAGTGAAAAAAAATGTGTCTACATAACTACGGCGCTTTTGCTGCCAACGGAATGTCTGCGTGTCGTCTGCTTTCTTTCAATGGTTGGCTGCACTTTCGGACGCTGCTCCCGATGCCATCTACAATACATGCACCAAACGCGCCCCACAACTCGCCTCGGTTGTCTGTGTCGCCGCCCGCTGTTGACCCTGGCAGGTTTCTTGGTTCTATTTTTTACAGAAAGGGGGCTACGCTTCGTAATTTTACAAGAAAAAACCGACCTGTGAAATACACCTTTGATGAAAACTTTACATTGCTGCAGGCAGGCGTCGAGTTTTACGGTCCATTTTAGATCGAGCCTGATGACTTGGGACACTTTATACATATCCCTCCGTCGCGACCACTACATAGCAAACCACTTCAGATCGTAAAATGTAGTGCCCTCTAAGTATTCCTGAAGTTTACACTTCGCAAAATTTACGAAGCTATGCGGTTTCAAAAATAAAGAATTGTTTATGGTACAACAAAGGTTAAGGTCTCTGAGCCTTCATTCTGCATTCTTCTCAAACAACAGGAATGTGCGACGACAGCCTAAAATAATACGCGCATCAGAGGAGGAGACTGGCGCAGCATTGGCTTAGCATTTCCGGCCGAGGTTGGCACGACAACGTTCAACTCCCTTTTAAAAGAAGCAAACGCCGAAAATGAAGATGGTTTGCATTACCGTGAAAGCTCCGCTATGCTTCTTCAAGACACCTCCATATTTCACCTCCATATTTTGGCACAACCCCTCGACAAGTGGAAAAACGACTTACAATGACACGCATGCCGTCGGTTGTTGGTGACATATCTGAGCTCTAGAACGTAGATTGTGATGCTGAAACCTGACTCGGCGCATAATGAAGAAAAAAATCGGAATATGCAACCAGCCACTTAACGCCTCTGGCCCTATATAAAAAATAGAAAAGACTCCGTCAACCCTAGAGCTGACAGTGCGACAAGAGTTACGCACTTGCCGGACCAATCAACAGCTTCCCTTTGATCGCCTGGCCCCGCACCCTGTGCGTGCGTATGGGCGAGAGCATAATCGCGTGGTCAAAAATAGACCAGGGGCCGGTCGGACAAGCATGTAGCCTCCACCGTACTGTCGGCTTAGGGAAGAACGCAGTATGGTCCTTCCCGAAAAGAAACTTGCAAGCCCGTCATAGGACAACCTGGAGAGCGGTCCGGGAATCCGAGTCAAATAATAGCAACAGCCTTTTTGGAGCTCATTTCCCTCTTTTTCAGGTTTGGGAGGGTATTAGACGCTTAGCATGCGTGAAGGACGTAAATAAATGAGAAGGAAATTGGGGGGCGAAACGAAGGAAAAAAGTTAAGTTAGAGTGAGCAGACAGGCAAGCTGGTTTATGTTACGCATTTTTAAAAAAACGGAGACGACAAACAAAGAAGGAGACAAACTCAGACTCTAGATATTCTGTGGTTGTCTCCTCTTTCGTCCGTTGTCTCAGGTTTTTAAAAAAATGTGGAAGGAAAAGAGAGCACTTTTCTGTTGGAAAGAATTTATCTTTGCTCGTCAGGCTTTAACGGATGCTAGCCGAGTTCACATTTCTTTCAGCAACCGAGACTCATGTTCATAGTTAAATGGTCGTGGTCGCTGCTTTCCTATAAAATACAAAATATAAAGCTAGAGTGTAAGCTCCTATCTGAGATTAGGGCCAGGGGATTGTAATGCACATGAGCAAACGGGGGTTAAAACCCGTTTGGTGTGTACCAAGTTTGAAGATGCAATATCAATTGTGAGTCAGCGCTTCTCTCCTCTATCAGTTCTCTGTACTCTGTCCTTTTTTTTATACATCGCGAAATTCGCTTTAAAGGGGTAGTGCAACAATTTTAATGTTGAAAGAATTTGCAGTTTGTATTTTTTATATTGTTTATCCAGGCACAAGTAACGAAAAACGTGTTTCCTTGCCCTGAAAAACTGCTACTCCGCCGCGTGATTGCGAACGAAAAAAACAAATTGTTTGTTGATCTGCAGCCGCTTGTGGCGGTTATGGGAACTACAGTGACACGTCTCTGGGGAACACGAGGAAGTCAGTAAAACCTGTCTTCCTCCACCGCTGCGCTCACCGTCAGCCCTGTGGCCTGTGGCGCACCGGCCTTTGTGTCAATCGATCGCTCGCTGTGATCTTGGATGATGCTCTTCCTTGAAAAGTCGACAATAGTGAAAGAAGCAGCTGGGGTCTCTGAAGAGAGAACCCAACGGGGAACCAGGTGGTCCCTCAGAGTGTGTAACTCGAAAGACGACGTGAGAGTTCAGAGGCACTTTGGATTTTCAATTTGTTTTATTTTTCTTAATAAAAACTATTACACGCATGAAAATACGGTTTTCCTTTCTTCGTTCCATAGGTGACATGCATTAATTCCCGCAGTTAATCGTTCAAACACCGAAAATGGTTGCACCGTCCTTTAAACTCAAACCTTTTGCTGCGCACTATTGCGGACAATACGAGCTGCAATGGTCCTTTATTCTTTTTTTAGCTTACTTGCTGGTTTCCAAAAGCTCTTTGGGTCACACTGTTTGATGGAGTGCAAAGCTTAGATCTCATTCTTTTAACTCTATGGCAAATAGAAAGATAACAGAAATTCGTGGGGATTGCAGACGCAAGAAAAGGCTAGATTCGGTGTGGTGCCTCTTATTGTTTGCGAGGGTACTTTCTGGGCTGAACTAATTACCGTATCTATTCGAATCTAGGCCGGCCTCGATTCTAAGCCGACCCCTGAAAGTCCGAAGCCAGAAAAAAACAAAAAAACTTACCTCGAATGTAGCCCGAATGAGAAGGCGAGGACAGCGTTCACAAAAAGAAGATATTTATTGAACATGAAGATGCCGTGCTCATTCTGAGTCATCATCGCTGCTAGCCTCGTCGCTGACTTGTTTATCACTGTCATCTTCAAACAGTGCGCTATCCTGAATATCATCAAGCGCATTTGATATGCTGCACTTTATGAAGGAGCGCATGATCAAAGTTCCAGGGAGGTCTCCCACGCTGCAGCCACCCAGCCCGCCATCCTCGTTGCGGCGCACGCAAATATCTTCTCCCGTTGCCTCCTCCAACGACGGACATTTCTTCATCCACGCTGAAGTCCCGCCCGGCTTGAACATTCAACAACAACTCCGCGACTAAAACAACTTTGTTTTTAAAAGCGGAACTATAATGGCACCGCCTGTTTGGTGCCATTGCGCTGTTAATAAAAAGAAAACGCCCCGCCGCACGCAGGCCACTACCAACGCAGGTCAAAAAGGCTGAACCGCCCGTGTACTTAAGTGGCTACTGGCTCGGCTAGTAATGGCTACAATACTTTTTTTTCTAGGTGGCGCTAGCTGTGCGCCACTTTCTTCAATTTTACTTGGGAATTAGCGCGTGTTTCAAAATCCTCGAATCTAAGCCGACCCTAGAGTTTGATGTATTGGTATTTAAAAAAAAAACTATCGGCCTAGATTTGAATAAATACAGTATCCTGCTGCGCCGAACTAGTTATCCCGCTCGGGAACGTAACCGTGCCCCAAACGAAAAGGGGATCGGTGGCCGAGCGCGTCTACACTCTGTACCTCGGAGCACGCGGGGCAAAAGCTCGTGCCGCAGTACCCGGCGATCCTGAATTCGAACCCCACCTCTGCCCGTTTCGATCTGGATGAGCATCGTACCGGCGTGCAGTCACGTATCACTATTGTACGATGCATGTTAAAGACCCCAAGCTAGCAGTTGTACTGCACTGGCTCAATTTCTTGTCTACAGCGTAAACCGGCATAGCCGCACCTCGTAGCAGACCGACCTTATGCCGTCTAAACACAAATGTTAAATTAGTTTCCCTTTGTGCTTCCCTCAGGACGCCCCTGCACTGCGCTGCCTCCTGCAACAACCTGGCCATGGTGAAGTTCCTGGTGGAGCACGGGGCTTGCATCTTTGCTGCCACGCTCAGCGACCACGAGACAGCTGCCGAGAAGTGCGAGGAGGACGAGGAGGGCTTCGACAACTGTTCCGAGTACCTCTACAGTAAGTCCAGAGCCAGCAGCTGCTGTTGCCCAGATCTCCAACCGATGTGATGACCACATTCTAAAGGGTGGTCCCTCCATTTTTGCCCAACGACGTCTGCATTTGCCCAACGACGATGCTGCAATCTCACCGGTATCTAGCTGTGACAGACGCCCGTTACGCCGCTGGTCGCTCTCTAGCTTCACAGTGCACTGAAGCTGGGGCAGCCGGAACTCCACGACGACGGCAACGTTTGCTCTTTTTGCCAGAACTTCTAGGACCGATTGCCATGATCGCCAACGGGGCGACATGACGACGACTGCGACGTCATGGGGGGGCAGGCTTAAAGGGGCACTGACACGTCACAATCATATTTTTTTTTATTATCCGAAACGATTGAAAATGATGCCGGGACATTACCCTCAAAATTCGAAACTTGGGAAATCAGTATTTGTGAAGTAAAAAAAACAATTTCCAAATGCCGAATTCAAAGTTCCCGCGCAATCCGCGCCGGTGCGTTGACGTCAAATATTGGGAGTCCTGAGGGTCGACTTTTTTGCTCGACTTCGTGCTGTTGCCATCGTGACCCAAAGAGAGGAGGAAAGAAGTGGCAAGTGAGGGCGCCGGCGGACCGAAAAAAAATTGGTTTTGAGCGGTGTCGCCTGTTTTCCGAGGGCGGATACAAATCTAGGAGACGACATCACACCGGACTGCAGTTTTTGGTATTTCAAAAAGAAGGGTCGTAGTGCATTCGCAACTGCGTTAAAAAACATGTTTTACGACTGCCGTTATTAAATGTCATAGAAATGTCGCCTACGAAGCTTCTAAATTTTATGATTCTTGACGTCACAAATCAAAAGAAGCGAGGAGGCGAGGAGCGGCAGAGGAGAACGCCAAAAATAAAAAGGTGCGCGCATGCCTAAGAAAATTTTTTTTGCGATGCATTTTCTTTTGCTTGTTTATGACTACAACTTGCATCATTTTAGACAATAAAAAAAATATGACCCTTGGGGGTTGTCAGTGCCTCTTTAAGCTGAACTAGTGTGTTCATACTTCAGGCAAGGCCAGCTGAACTAGAATAAACATACAACAAAAAGACCATGCACACCGCTGGACTAGCAATTACTTTTCTTTTTCCTCCTCTTCTACTACAAACTCCACATGAGGGAAACATTATATTTTCTTCTTCTTTTTCCTTCCTAGTTGACCAAATATTTAATCCCCTAAGGAACATTTTTTCTTTCTTGTGCAGAGCGAGAGAGGAACAGGACAGAACTGGATACGTGAAATCCTGGGTGCCCTTGGAGGAAAAGGGCGATGACCGCGCTAGCGCACCTTCTCTAGCACTGCACGAGAAAGAGAAAATGTTCATTCGGCTGTAAAATTTTCGGTGAAGTAGGAAACAAAAAAGAAGAAGAGAGAATATTTCTCTCAAGTGGGGTTCTTAGTAGAAGAGCGGGAAAAAGAGAAGTAATTGTTAGTCCAGCGGTGTGTATGGTCTTTTCTTTCTGTGTATGTATGTTTATTCTAGTTCAGCTGGCATTACCTGAATCATGCGGGGACCTTTTGAATGCGTGGGCAGGAAAGGATGCCAAACGCAGCAGTTGAAGGCACATTTTACGACCTTCTTTGCTGCTATCAACCAGGCCGAAGAATCCGGAAATATGACAGTCGCTCTCTCACAAAAATGTGAATGTGGCAGAGAAGTGCATATAGTAACATCTACCCTCTCTCCCGAATGGAAGACTCATTTAATGGTTTCTTGTCATCTGCAATCGACATGTTTGCGCCTCGAGCAATTTCGAAAACTCGGTGATGTCAGAACTGTCATGAGGTGTGTGGATATTTACTTTGTTCGGTTCGTATTCGTACGTATACAGTGCTGGAATGTTTGATGTGCTTGTTCATAGGCATTGTACCACCAGAAAGGCACGTGGCCGTTTATTTATTTACCCGTAGGGCCCTTTGGGGAGTTACATAGGGGGAAAATCATTTGAAATACAAAATTCATTTGCCTCCTTCATTTTGTTTCGAAAACCTACCCAGCTGTTGCGGGCATTGTCAACAAATAAACAAATAAACAAGCAAATAAATCCGCTAACCGGAAAGAGATCTTCTATAGCCATTTCTGCCCCAATAATAAGTCGGTGTTTATTTTGCGCATTATTGCCGAGAGGGGCCGTAGGTTTCAGCAATGGCTAGATCCAAAAGGGTTTTTGGCCGCCGAGCGAGTGAAGCGGCGTTCCTCGAGGTTAAAGGGGACCCCCGATTCGAGCGACAGGTGAGGAAGCACCCCATGCACCTTTATGTACACTGCCTCGTTCTTGACCGCCGCTTCAGGGCCCCGCCGTATTAACGCACTATGTGTACCCTCAAGAAAAACACGAACCAAGGGCTGCCACACGTCTGCCAGATTTAGCAGATTCGCGTCCCGCTACATCTGGCGGACAGTGTTCACCCGACGTCGTCACGCGACACCGCGACACAACGCTGCGACGTCACGTGACCCGACATTATTTCCAAACATGACAGTGCGACAAAATGTCGACACCGTTATGTTGCCTGATACCACGACATCACATGACACGGTGTCATCACATCATGTCACCCGGTTACGAGTTATGATGTCACATGGCTCTCGCTGTAAATTCCTGGTCATCTGGTGTGTTCATTCAGTAGCTCTTAGATAGAGACAGTAATTCCCCGTTACAACAAAATCGCTGTTTTCGAATTATTGCTCTTATCGAAGTTCCACGTGGTCCCGACCGAAATGCACACATTTTTAAATGGATTATTCTTAGTGTATTGGCAGCCGACCACGCTTGTTACAAAGACCTAGGTGCCGAAAGCACACATGTCTACACGGATGCGCACGGAGAACCTTGCATTCAATCCCCATTCTGCTCCGAGGCAAATAAATGGCTAACAGGGAAAACAGAGTAAACAGGTGACGGAGGGCAGAGCGCCGCTTCCAATGTTGATGTGCCGATGCAAGGACGTTGGCAGGGAGCAGCGTCAACGTTTTGATGCTACTCACAGTGCCCGCAGCTGACGCTGTCTGATTCGAATCTGGGTAAGGAAGCGATAGAGCCCAGAGGAGATCATCTCTTCATCAGCACCCAATGTGCGCACCTCCGCGAGCGCGTCATATGGGAGATTGAGAGTGTTTGCCGAAAGTCACTTAGATCTGCGAGGTTGAAAAAAAGTGGCCGGCTTAAGTCTGAAATCGTCAAAGAAATTGACATTCCAGCATCGGCTATTCGACACTGTCCACCATTTTGCAGAACAAGCAAGGCGTGTTGGACGGGTTCGAGAAGCTTCTCGTGCAGGAGAAAGCGTGCCCGCGACTTGAACATGAAAGGTCATCAACTGTTTCGTGCACAACAGATTTCCTCTCGCGAGCATGCTTGCCAAGCAGGCGCACAATTTCCATAGCTGCAACAATCTCTACAAGAATGTGTGAAAACATGTTGACAAAGCCACCGAGGATAACTTTGATTCAATCACGCTTGTCGATGCCGACATTCCTGTTGTTGCTCCTGCCACAGATGCTGCCATCATAGACCTTGCGTGCGGCCAGAGTAAACACGAAGCGACGTCAGAGAGGCACCTCAGGAAATGCCGACGACTGCGGAGACGCGAAACATCCTATGGCTGCTTCGAAACAAAGTGGAGTGCAGCGGCGGTGTCTGTGTTCTTGCGAGGCCTGGAGCAGTTCGAGGAGTACTGATGTCCGGATGAAATTATCAACAAACCCTACTTCATTATTTTTTTGCTCTGTAAAGCTGCGGCGAAATGTTCATAGCCAAGGTTTATTCAACTAAATATACGGTCAGAGCATTACACAGTGTTCCCGTCGACCTTCAAGGCTACTGAGACTGTTTTTCTGGCTCTATTGTTTTTATCCAATTACCACTTATATGAGATTTTTTTGCTGTCCCATTGACTTCGTTATAATGAGAGATTACTGTAGATAGATCTATAAGCTATTTAATATACACAAAACTAGAAGGAGTTCGCCGCCGCGTTGACGTTGCACCGACCCGATTAGCATTGAATTCCTCGTGCTTTCGCGCTCACACTTTTTGACCGTTGGGCCTCTTCGTCTTCTTCGTGGGTTGCTATAAGTGGATATGTATTCAACTTAGGAGAGCCGTAGCGCCATGAAAAGGCAAGTTGCCCATACCGTGAAGGTCTGCGGCGCCGCTTCTAACGATGAAATGGTGTTCTGCAGATGAATTGTGCGGATGATGATGATGATGATGGTAGAACTATGGGGTGACCTGAAAAGGGCAGAGCAATTAAAGCCCCTTCATGTTTCAAAAGTAGCGCAATGTTCGTCGATGCACGAGGCACGTGCAACATGCAGCCCTTGGGAAGGTCATAGCGGCACAACATAGCACTGAGCTAGATTTCAGACGCCATGAATTTCCCAGAAGTGACGCGCGTCACGTGCCCCGAACATTTCTACTACAATGGATGGCGCCACTTTTCCCAGGGTAGAGGGGCTTGAAGAGCAATAGTGTAGCACTGCCATCTGCTGCAGAATGAACAAGATTACTCGTGTTTGGGTTTTCTAGTCCTTAATGGACAACATCGAAGGGTTTAAGGTGTGGCAACCTCCCCTTCCCGCAGGCGTGCAGGAGAAGCTGGGCATCCTGCACGGGGGCGTGGCGTACGGGGTGTTTGCCTACGAGGCCCACAACCCGGACGAGCTGAGCTTCCAGGAGGGGGACATGGTGCTGGTGCTGCGCAAGGGCGACGACGCCGAGCGCCACTGGTGGTGGGCACGCCTGGGCGACCGAGAGGGCTACCTGCCACGCAACCTACTCGGGGTAACAACCCCTTCCTCCCCTTTATCCACCACCTTGGACTGGGCTGGTCACTAGGGATTGTCGGGTCAAATTCGAGGGTTTTACGTACCAACGAAAGGCATATCTGACATGCCTTAGCGGAGGACGGAGGATTAATTTCTACGACCTGGGGATCCTTTGACGCGCAACCGAAATCTCAGTTACCCTCTGCGCTATGAGCCCCTGTCAGATTTCGGGCATCTCGGTCGAGATTCGAACCTGCCGCTTGGGGATGCGGAGGCCGACACCTTGCGTCGGAGCCACCGAAGCGGCTGAGGGACAGTCGGAAAAACCAGTCCTAAATTTATTCATAAAGATGTATATACCTTGGCTTTGTTTGGAAGCTGACTCTGTTCTGTGTCTTTATAAGTAAATTTAGTATGGGAACTGCTTTTTCCAACAAGTCCTCCTGACCAGCCCAGTTTTCTACTTTGTCTTAACGTTTGGACACGAACCTTGAACTAGCTTCCTATGTTACCATTCTAGTGTCTCCTGTAGTAATGTACCATCCATCTGTTCCCTTGTTCCTCCCCAAAAATGTTTGAATAGATGTAGCACCCTAGCTATGTTCCACTTCCATCGTTTTTATAGGGTGAATATAATTCTCAGAGTGCAGGACAGAAAAATGTGTGTGTGTGTATGTGGGGGGGGGGGGGGACAAGGCAAGAACACAATCTTCTCTACTATTTAGTTCATTGTAAAAATTAATTTTTTCAGAGTTTTGCATTGACACCACAAGAGCCTTCCTTTCCCATTTTTAAACAATGGGGAAGAAATGTTGGCAACCATGCTTGTTCATATCTGTTCAAACGAAACTTATTGGCACATGTAACCACACAATTTGCTAGGATTGTACTCTGTGGGACGTAACATTTTGGTAGCATGTTTATTTTTATAAAATTATATATGTAACAAGCAAAACTTCTTTCGATTTTCTTCCACTCACTCAGTAGGCCTACTGATTTCGTGACAATGCGTATTCTCACAAAAACGTAACTGTCCCTGCCGAAATAGGCCTGTCACCATAGATGTAACATCCCCATGTTCCCCATCCCAGTGTGTTTCATAGGGATGTAACATCCCTGTGTTTTCTGTAGGGATGTAATCTGAAAATCTGGCTACATGCCTAGAGTGCTTTAAAATACCGCAAACGTTCCTTTTCTCTTTTTGTTGTGCACTTTGTCCCTCTTTCCTTGGAGCACTCTGGTTTCCCTGCGTCCCTCCCCCAAGAGTTTACGCCCAATTTTGTAACCTCTCGGAACGATGGTATTTATTTTTGTTAACAGTGTCCCTAGTCTTCACAATGAAAAGTTTGAGAATGAGGGTAAAGATTGAGAGAAGGACAAAAAATGGTCAATGTGCAGGCGAGCTGGTGCATTAAAGGGACACTGACACCCCCCAAAATTTTATTCATTTTTTGCCAGGCGCTATATTATGGTGTCGGAGGACTACCCAACTAGTATTTTGCAACAGAGTAGCGTATAGGTAGGCTATCGCGTTTTCGGTTTTTATTTTTTCAAAATTCGGCATACTTTTTTCGGTGTTTATTTTAAAATTCAATTTTCGGTTTTTTTCGGTGAATATTTATTTTATTCCCAAAAAAACTTCACCGTTTTTTTTTCCGGTGAATATAAAAGACACACCATCGGACACCGGATCAAATGATCCTTGTAGCTGTGATATTTGTGATCACTCAAAGAATAACGGCACATATACATACGTGGTCTTCGCTACAACTTCCGTCAGGACACGCCTCAAGATCGTTCGAGGGCATAATCTTCAGCGCGCTTCTTTTTCCTTCCCATTCTGACGACGTGACCGTCTGAGGTAATGACCGTACAAGATTCAGCGGAATGTCAAAAGAAAAATCCACTGTATTTATGTTTTTAACCACAGGGAAGTTTGAGAGCGGGTGGTAAGGAATGTATTAACGGCTTTCCTCGATGTCCTCTGAAGTGCATGAAGCGAAAAACCTTATGCTAGCCCACATCCGAACTTTCTTTTTAGGACCGGGAACTTGACACACTAAGCCCGATCACAGAAAGGGCACAGGTGTCCCGCGAAGGCCAATCCAAGAGCTTTTTTGTTGCATGATGAACCTTGGAAGAGGGCAATCACGAAGACGTCACTCAATGTCGAACCTTGCAAAACCCTTTCCCCCCCCCCCCCCCCCCCCGTGCCCCCTCCCCCACCCACCTTGACGCGGCCCTAAAAAGCTTACCTTTTTCGGTTAAAACCAAATTTTAGGAAACGGATTAGACATACTTTTATCGGTTTTTACCGAAAACGCCGAACCTACAACTGACCTTTTTCAGTTAAAACCGAATTTCCGAAAATAGATTCGGCGTACTTTTATCGGTCTTTATCGGTTTAAACCGAAAACTCCGAACCCTGCGTATAGGTATTTTTAATAAAGCCAAAAGACACACCTGCTCGAACCCGAAACCGAAACCCGCGCACGGAGGTCGGAGAAGTGGAGAGGAGAAAGCGAGTGGCGGAAGTCGCGTGACACACCCAGCCGTGCGTTTTTTTGTTTTTTTTTTGCCCCTCTGCATAGCAGACGACATGGGTGGCGGCGTAGCGGGAAGTGTTTGCCATGCGATTCTTTTGCGGTTATGTTTCTTCCGCTCGCTGTTCTGTACTTCAAGATTAGTTGTTTTGTACATTGAGGAGTTGGAAATGAGTAGTGAGTGTTGTGGTGAATTTCCGTGATCGGCTCCGAAAAGAATACACTGAAGATGTTGCGTGAAGAGCTGGCTCACATGTCCTGCGTCCGAAAAAAAGTGGCATTGTGCGACAGAATTTCCGAAAGATCAACGGGATCGGGACCAATGGCTGGTTGCAGTTCCTGTAGAACATTTACGGGCACCTTGGAAAGCAGACGCTACCTGATTTATATGCTCCTTAATTGCATTTTGTGGAAAGTGATTACATTAAGTTTGCAGGTGTCAAAAAGGAAATCCCATAGCATTTAGTTCAGCAACGTTTCGTCCACAACATTTGTTTGTTATTTTTTTGTTTGTTTCTTCAGTGGTAATTGTAAAAAAGAAAGAAATGTTAACATCGCAAAATGTCTGAATAAAAAAGGTACGCTTTCACTGGAGATCGAACCCAGTTTTGCCGCGTGTGAGGCTGACGTCTTTCAACTGAGCTAGTGGAGGAACCCTTTTTTTTAGTAATAATGCAGCCGGTAAACTGTAAGTTGGAAAGTTTGCTGCCAATTTTCCTCCAGCAAAAGCGCTCTCGGGTCGAAGTCGGGAAGCACCACGCATTGGCGACATTCGCACCTGGTAAAGGAATCGGGACTGGTAGTAGGTGCCATGTGATGAGGGAATTATTATTATTTGACCTGCTGATACAAAAGAAACAACTGACTGTTCCACTCTAATTGAAAAGATAACAAGCTGCTCGCTGCCTGCCTCAAGCTCAAAGAACTTTAGGGGTTCTCAAACTCTTCTATCTCAAGGATGGTAGCTGCCCAGTCTCATCACTGGTGCAATATAGCGTATGCATGGAGAAGCGACACTCAAGAATACAGAATGCAGGGAGTGTCTGACCTATAGATACGCACAAATGAGCAGGTTTGCTGCACATTATTTTGGGATGTTTGAGGAACCCCTGAGGGTGCTCTGGGGAACTCCTGGGTTCCCCCAGTCTTGGAACACATGGGCTAATGCAAGTGTCGGCTACTATAGTCATTTTTTGGCAATGCTCGTTTTAAAAAGGAGCCTTCTAGACTTCTCAGAGTGCCAGTTGACGTGTGCTAGACTCGAGGAAAATTCCTGGAGAACCTTAATTTCTTGGTCGGATGTGGACTGCCATTTCGAAGGTCCTTTTTTGGGACCTCGCTACCGGCTTCTTTGTGCTTTGTTTGTACCTACCAGTGCCAACTGAAACTTACTTGAGCAACTGGTCATTGGTATGCTTCCTTATCTATATGAACTGTTTCAGCTCACTCGTTCCAGGACTTAAGGGGGAACACTTGTCTTGGAGCTGTTTTTCTTATTTTATGACCAAACTTAATCAAACTGCACAAGCTTGTTCAGCTTTCTGTGCTGATTTCATATATCTGGTCATTTTCTCAGTCAGTAGAATTGTCCTCAAAATAAATAAAACTTGCCTGCCTTTGTTTGGAAAAACGATAGAAAAAAAACTGCTCAACAAAATATTCTTTTTTAACACATGGCTAGATACTATGAAGTGTAGAGAATACAATGTTGGAAGCGCTTTTAAGAAAAACTCATTATTAGTGATTTTTGCACACATTGAAGTTCACTGCTTAAAGGGACACTGACACCCCCCAAAAAATTTTTTTTATTTTTTGCCAGGTGCTTTATTATGGTGTCGGAGGACTACCCAATGAATATTTTGCAACAGAGTAGCGTATTTTTTTAATAAAGCCAAAAGACGCAACTGCTCGAAACCGAAACCCGACGGAGGTCGGAGAAGTGGAGAGAAGAGAGTGAGTGGCGGAAGTCACGTGGCTACACCCGACCGTGCGTTTTTTTGTTTTTTTTTCTTCTCTCCGTAGCAGACGACACGACATGCGGCGTGGGTTGCGGCGTGCGGGAACTGCTCGCCGTGCGATTCTTTTGCAGTTATGTTTGTTCCGCTCGTTGTTCTGTACTCCAAGATGAGTTATTTTGTACATTGAGGAGTTGGAGATGAGTAGTGAGTGCCCGTGGTGAATTTCCATGATCGGCTCCGAAAAGAATACACCCAAGATGTTGCGTGAAGAGCTGGCTCACATGTCCTGCGTCCGAAAAAAAAGTGGCATTGTGCGACAGAGTTTCCGAAAGATCAACGGGATCAGGACGAATGGCTGGCTGCAATTCCTGTAGAACATATACGGGCACCTCGGAAAGCGGACGCTACCTGATTTATATGCTCCTTGTATTTTGTGGAAAGTGATTACATTGAGTTCGCAGTTGTCAAAACGGAAATCCCATACCATTTAATTCAGCGAAGTATCGTCCACAACA